CAAAAGGCAAACCACTAGAACAAGAAATTGTGCTATGATCTATTTAGCTCACTGCTGCTGAGCTTCAAGGTTGGAAAAGGTCACAGTGGCCATCAGCGCTGGACAATGTCTTCAATGAAGGTCTTCATATCCTCCAACAGCCCCAATTTTAGCAGGGGCAGTCCTGATTAATCCTCTTCTAGAAGAATCGCATTTGAAGACTGGGGAGCCATCCAGACAGGCCCAAAACATGGGACCTGTCTGGGTTTTTACTGGGGTATCTAAATGATGCCTCCAGTAAAAAACAAAAACAAATTGCTTCTGCAATCCCATAAAACTAAGTTATTCCAAATTAATTAAATACCCCATTAGATTCGGACCTTCCTGAAAGTCCACAGTCTAATGGAGTATTGGGCTCATGGGGGCTCACTTTTGGGTAGTCCTAGGACTACCCGAGGGTGAGAACTCATTTGTCATCTTGAATCTTGAATCTTTTGGGCTCCTGAAGTTCAAAAGTCCAGGGTGGCACCCAGCCCCTCTAACCAAGCCCAAATTTCCCTCTAAAAATAAAGTTAAATTTAGCTGGCTGCCGTAGCTTTCCTCCTGGTGCCCTCCTGGCATGAGGATATGACATACCAAGAGATGGGGGAGCAAAGAGGGACCCCCCCCCCCATCTCCTGGCAAATCATTTTTTGAATCCAGGAGAGCGCGAGGAGGAAAGTTATGGTGGCCAGGCAAGTTTAACTTTCTTTTTTATGGGAAAATGAAGGAGGCTTTGGGGTGGCTGCATCTCATCCTGATTGTAATCAGGATAGCATATAGACATTCCTCCCTCCCCCCCCCCCCCCCCCCCCCCCCCCCCAGAAAGCCCAGGGCATGGGGACTCAAATCCACACCAAAGCGGGTTTTTAAAAAACCCACTTTGGCACAGATTTGGGGCCTGTCTGGATTCCCTATGTCTTCCAGCTTGACAGTAAAAAGTTGAACGTAGACTAGACCTACAGTACCCTCTATCCGAGGATCTGATCCCAGATTATCTGCTTTGAACTGGATTCTATGAAGGCCCTACCAAACATGGGAAAATCCCAGGAGCAACTGGAATATTTAATCCCAGTTTCACCCAGCATTTAGTCCCCACACCCACCCCAAACCCTGAGTTTTCCTGGAGCAGGCTATATGCCCTCCCAGGTCAACCAGAAATATCAGAGTTTGACCCAGGAGAGCATGGAGCTAGCCCCCCCCCCCATTTATTCCCAAAATTTACCCAAGGAGCCTAGCAGCATGCTCAGGCCCTTCTGTCGAAAGCTCTTGGTGTGTCAAAATGATGCGTCAAGAGGTTGGGGGGTGGGGTAAGGAGAGAATTCCTCCTTCCTCCCCCAACTTCCTGACGTTTCATTTTGCATTCAGCCAGGCCCCTCAGGTACATTTTGAGGTAAATGGGGGACTGGGAAGGGGGGGCTTCAGAAGGCTGAAAAACCAACATCATAGTGGATTGTGGAAGCAGTCCCAGTGGTCAGTCCTCACAGGGTCCACACCTGGAAAGATCTTGACCTTACATTAAGGTCCAGATCTTTCCAGGTGTCTAATTAATCCAGAGTAAAGTGGGAAATCCCAGTTGGAGTTACTTGTCATTTGATTAAAAAGGTTCTCTCTAAGGCCCCTTCTACACTGTCATTTAAAATCCTCATTATCTACTTTGAATGGAGTCTAGACTGCCAGATAATCCAGTTCAAAGTAGATAATCTGGATTTTATATGGCAGTATACATGGGGCCCTAGATGGGGGCATATAATGCAAGCATAGTGTGTATTATTTAGCCTACTGACTAAAGCTGTCCAAACAGACTCCAGTGTAGTGAGATTTGTCCATACAATTTCATCATACTGTGGAAGAATAAGGAGAACACATGCACTTTGAAAGTGACTTTGTGTTTTGTATACATATGATAAGAGTATTTTAAAGCATCTTTTCCTTTTCTAAGAAACTGAAGGTCAAAAAATACTCGAGAATAAATATATGCTGAGTGATCGGTTTGCATGCAACACAAATACAAATGTGCTTATCAAACTCCTGTCCTGTCTTATGACACAAAGTAAGGAAACACAAATAACCTTGTGTTTCCTATACCACAATTGGCAGCAAGATGCCAATTGTGGTATAGAGTGCATCCACACTGTAGAATGAATGCAATTTGGCACCACTTTAACTGCCATAGCTCAATGCTATGGAACCTTGGGAGCTGGAGTTTTACAATGGGTTGCTGTGAGTTTTTCGGGCTGCATGGCCAGGTTCCAGCAGCATTCTCTCCTAACGTTTCGCCTGCATCTGTGGCTGGCATCTTCAGAGGTTCTGTTGGTAGTGAAGCAAGTGGAGTGAAGCAGTGAAACATGTAGAGTGTTTATATACCTGTGGCTTCTCTGTATAGTCTGACCTAATGGTTGTCAGAGTGGTCCAGAATTTCTGTGTTCTCAAATAATATTCTGTGTCCAGGTTGGTTTATCAAGTGCTCTGTTATAGCCGGCCATGAAAGCCATCGACAATATATGGAACATCTGTAGTCTTCTCTGCCAGAGTGCAGGCATTGCAGTAAACTACAAATATATGCTGTCAAACTTCATTATTTCTACAGTGTAGATGCACTCATAGTTACTAGAGTGTTAGACTAGAAGTGGAATACCTGAGCAGAGCTTTTGCTGGCATTTGCTGCCTAAAGTCAAGGGCAATATAGGATTTTCTGTAAAATGATTTAGACCATCAGTTGAATACTGGCAATGCAATAGCTCCCCCAAAATCTGAAAGTAGCCATGAATTTTAAATAAGTAGGATAGATCTGTAATTTATGGCTCTTTCCTCCAACAGAGAAGACAACAGCAGACCTTTTAAGGTTACAATTGCAGCAAGTGAGCAATTGCAGTATAGGGCCCTTCCACACAGCCCTATATCCCAGGATATCAAGGCAGAAAATCCCACATTATCAGAGTGTGGACTCAGATAACCCAGTTCAAAGCAGGTATTGTGGGATTTTCTGCCTTGATATTCTGGGATATAGGGTTGTGTGGAAGGGCCCATAGACTGCATCCACAATGTAGAATTAATGCAGTCTGGCACCATTTTAACTGCCATGATTCAATGTTATAGAATCCTGGAAATCGTAGTTTTACAATATCTTTTGCTTTCTCTGCCAAAGAGGACTTTTAACCATACCTGTAGAGATGCCAGAGTGAAAACTGGACCATTAATTGTTGTGCAAAACACAGTTACTATTACTAGGGGTAACTATGTAGCATTAATGCAGTTTGATCTGCTTTAATAAGTTGAGCCATGACATCCTGAGAGTTGTAGTTTTAGAATGGATGGACATCTGTTGGGGTCTTTATAAGGTCTTTAACCTTTGCTGCCCAAGAGTGCAGGTTCCTCACCAAACTACAACTCCCAGGATCCCAGATTACGGAGCCATCACAACTAAAGTGGTATCAAAATGCAGTGTAGATGCTCTTTTGCTTACACAGCAAGAATACATGCTAAAATTCCCTGCTCTGCACAAACATTGAAGCTGCAACATGTCCTCTCCGGCTTTCAGTCTGACACCTCAGCTGTAAATAATTTGAAAGTAACTCTTCAAACTTTAATGGGTACAGTAAAAACACAGCACATGGTACAAAACATTTCCTCTTGCAGACCTGACCTTCAAGATTTGGTTAATCACATATTCGGTGAAAGGTGAGTAATTTCTCAGAAGCAGTACACAGATAGTTGGTTATATATACACACAAAATAAATAACCTAGAAGAGGTAAAGATAAAGGACAAGATAAGTAGAAGGGACAAGAAAAAAAAAGGAACGAACTACACTGCCATGTAATCCAGATTATCAAAGCAGAAAATCCACATTATCTGCTTTGATAGTCTGGATTATATAGCAGTGCAGAAGAGGTTTATTTATTTACAGTATTTATATTCTGCCCTTCTCACCCCGCAGAGGACTCAGAGCGGATTACAATGCACATATACATGGAAAACATTCAATGACATTTAGACATACAACATATATAGACAGACACAGAGGCATTAACATTCCAGCTATTCCAGCTTCATGGGGCTATGCTTGATTCCAACCAGAGGGGGAGCCGCCGCGTCACCGTCCACTTGTGATACCGAGTCCTTTGATGGAGCACTGCCTCATTCTTCTTCACGCTGTTGGGAGGTTTTTATGGCATCGTAAATTAGTTAAATTAGCCTCCCCGCATAAAGCGGTACCTAAATTTCCTACTTGACTGATGTAACTGTCTTTTGGGCTGCATAGGTCGACAGCAAGCTAGACTATTAATGGTCGAGAGCTTCCTCTGACCCGGGCTGGCTTCGAACTCATGAGCTCTCGGTCAGTAGTGATTTAATGCAGCTGGCTGGTCCTGAGAAACCATCTCCCTCCTGCTACACAAAAACCTGCCAATTGAATCTGACTCCAGTAGTGGTGATTATTGGGCCATCCTGCTGTATATTTATCTACACTGCAGATTTAATGCAGTTTAATACCACTTTAACTGTCCACGGTTCAATGCTATGGAATCGTGGGAGTTGTAGTTTTCTAAGGCCTTTGCTTTGCCTGCCATAGAGCGCCCGTGCCTTACCTAACTACACTCCCATGACTCTATATACTAATTAAAGTGCTATCAAACTGCATTAATGTTACAGCGTAGATGCATCATTGGTATCAGCAAAACAAGACTAAAAAGTGGAATACTTTGCAATCAGTCATTTACATCAAACCACCTAGAGATACTCTCAGAAAGAGCCATACACTGTGGTTCTCTTAATAATGTATGGGCATTTTGGACTTCAACTCCCAGAAGCCCCAGTCGACATGGCCAACGGTCTGGAATTCTGGGAGTTGAAGTCCCCCTTCCCAAAGAAGTCTAGAGGCCAAATTGGTTCCAATCGCTTCATCATTCTACTACGATGTATCACTCTTGACTTTTCTAGTTCTATGTGTGCCTTTATTGTGGGATGAGAACATCCGGGCTCTTCGGCTCACAGAGCGGCTGTACTTCCGGGTGAAGGGGAGGAAGGTGGGAGCAGCATGGCTGCGCCCGGGGAGAGTGAGCGAGGGAAGGGGGAGCCCGAAACGAGGAGCCCCAAAGGCAAGAAGGCGAGCAAGGGTGAGTGTAGGCTCGTTTGGATCAGGAAGGGACCCCTCAAAAGCAGGCAGGCTAGAGAGGGCTCAGGGCCTTCCACACAGCCATATAACCCAGAATAACAAGGCAGAAAACCCCACAGTAGCTGCTTTGAACTGGATTATCTGAGTCCACACTGCCATATAATCCAGTTCAAAGCAGATAGTGTGGGATTTTATTCAACTGAGTGGAAGGGGCCTCAGGCAGAGCCTTCATTCTCAGGAGCTTTCCACACCATACATTTATAGCGTTATGGTTCCATTTTCACTGTCCTAATAAAGCCTTATAGGATCTGGGAGGTTTGCAGTTCATGGAGGGGTGTGTTTATAATTCCCATCTAGAGGGAACTGGGGCCTCCCCCAAACTCCACATGCCAGGATCAAGTGGAAACACAGTGCAATAATTTGATATCGGTTTGATTATGGGTCCTTCCATACAGCCCTGTATCCCAGAATATCAAGGCAGAAAATCCTACAATATCTGCTTTGAGCTGGGTAATCTGAGTCCACACACAGATAATGTGGGATTTTCTGCCTTGATATTCTGGGATATAGATCTGTGATCTTAACTCCGAAATGCTTGGGGCCAGAAGGTGTTGGGATTTTTCTCTAATTCCTGTATTTGCATATGTATACATATTGGGCATCATTTAAGGCTCCTTCAACGCTGCCATGTAAAATTGATATTATTTGTTTTGAGTGGATTATGTGGCAGTGTGGACACATATAATCCTGTTCAAAGAAGATAATGTGGATTATCTGCTTTGCAAATCTGGATTATATGGCAGTGTAGAAGGAACCTATGCTTCATATCTGTACCTTGAAGGTAATTTCATGCAATATTTTAATAATCTTGTACACGAAACAAAGTGTTGAACCATTAAAAAAAACAAAAGTGCTACTATCTCAGGCTGGATCGACATTGCCATATTGGGACTTCAGAAAGTGGATTACATGGCAGTGTAGATTGGGCCTTAGCCACCCATGTGGACCATTTTGGAGCATTTCATCTTTTAAAACTCTGGGCAAGAAATGTGCCACCAACTGGCTGCTGGGTTTTTGATTCTATGCAGAAAAAAAATATATTGGCTGTGTTTGAATAACAGATTGGTATTGAATTTCATGCATTTCTGATGTTTCTGAGGTGTGCATATTCTTGAATTATTGCTAAATGTAGGAGCCCCTGGTGGCGCAGTGGGTTAAACCCCTGTGCTGGTAGGACTGAAGACCTACAGGTCGCAGATTCAAATCCGGGGAGAGCGCGGATGAGCTCCCTCTATCAGCTCCAGCTCGTGCGGGGACATGAGAGAAGCCTCCCATAAGGATGATAAAGCATCAAAACATCCGGGCGTCCCCTGGGCAACGTCCTTGCAGACGGCCAATTCTCTCACACCAGAAGCAACTTGCAGTTTCTCAAGTCGCTCCTGACACGACAAAAAAAAAAAAAAAAAGCTAAATGTGCCCTCTCATGATAGATTATTGCTTTACAGCTATTTTGTTCCCCTTGCTCTACTTAGCATGAAGTCAATTGATTTGAAAACTCTTGGATTGGCATGGAGTAAATTGTTCAAGAAGATAATGCTTTTAAAATCATTATTAGTGAGGGAAAAACAAGACATGATTGGAAGAGTCTGGAGCGGTCACTGTTGCATCCTGATGATTATTACTAATGAAAATAATTTCTCAAAACTCCTGCTGCTTAAGACTGTTAGAGTGCAAACTGGGATCTTCTATTTTTACTGACTGTTACTGGTGTAAAGTATTTTTTACTACACTCTTCGGTTGAAAGGTCTCCCACAGTATATATTACATTAGTTTTACCAGGTCAGAATTATTCAAGGGCCCAAAGCCAAGACCTGGGATGCCATGGGAGTGATGCCATTAAGCATGATAAACATAACAAAATGCCATTAAACATGATGAACATTAAACATGAGACAGTACATATCAAATACAGTTTCACACATAATGCAGTTCACTTTTTTTAAAAAAAAAACAAAAACATATCTAAGTCTAACACATGAGAAAGCACACTGCAGCAGCCTGCTGATCCCTGAGGAATGACAAAAGGGGGACAGGCCCTGAAATATGACAACTCTAATACACATCGATCTTATGGGCTTACAGTCTAAAAATGCAAAAGAAAAAGAAATAAGAAGGGAGGAATAAGGTGAACCCAAGCACTAATTAGAGTTGGCACCGTTTTTGAAGTGTGGCAATTTCCCATCATCAAGCTTCAACATACAGTTGTTGTGATCTCTTTCTGTCTTTCCTGCCTCTGTTCCCTGATCCTGCATTTCTTAATCAGAGAAAACCATTCTTATATGTATATATTTTTGTTAACAGTAGATGAATCGGAACTTCTTACTGTTCCTGATGGATGGAAAGAGCCAGCCTTTAAACGAGAAGATAATCCTAAAGGACTTCTGGAAGAAAGCAGCTTTGCCACTCTCTTCCCAAAATACAGAGAAGCATACTTGAAAGAATGCTGGCCATTGGTGCAGAAAGCACTGAATGAACATGTAGGGCTGTTTTTAATACTTTCCTCAAGCTTCCTATGTTTACATTTTATTTCCCAAACCTAGATGCATTGAGGTGGGTCAGAGAGAAGGATGAGTAGGGCCATTTGGCATACTTTTGAATGGGGAATTCTAAAGCTGCCTCTATATTTAAATCTAATTGCAATAAATGGATATCAATAAAAAGTCCTGTAATATCTTGGAATTGGTTCTGGGACCCGCCATGAATGCCAAAAAACAAACAAACAAAAAAACAACAGATATGGATGATTACATTCTATATTAAATGGCAGCTAACCGATTATGCTTCAGTATGTCCACATTCGTGTTGCTACCATCTATTTAATATGGTGCAAGATTGCCTGCAGTTGCTAGAAATGGCAGATCTGGATCTCAGTGGCCTGGAGCATTTGTAAATGTAAAAAATATTTTGTGTTTTATTATGTTGGTATTCACATCTGTAATCTGTAAACCCTTTTCATCATATAAAGATTCTGTTAAGAACCAGTTGTGCTGCTATATAAAACTCTTGCTTTTTTTGTGTTTCAGCACATAAATGCGGCTTTAGATTTGATTGAAGGAAGCATGACTGTCAGCACAACAAAGAAGACCTTTGACCCCTATATAATCATCAGAGCCAGAGACTTAATAAAGCTTTTAGCAAGAAGTGTTCCATTTGAACAGGTTTGTTCAGTGATTAAGAGTTATGATTCTGTCCTATAGTTTTATTAAATTGTTTGAAAGTTGTTTTCTGTTTAGTGTCATTAAAATCTGTGAAGACTAATTCAGAGGGTTTTATTAAATATGTTTTTGAGCTTAAACATTAAGCTCCAAATGTAGAACTTTGGTTAAGAAGCATGTATCAGAGCAAATCAGGTTATTGTATTAATGTTCCTGTCTTTACTTGGATTTAGCTTAACTTGAGATGCTGTTTGATTTTCTGTTTAGGCTGTGCGCATCCTTGAAGATGATGTAGCTTGTGACATCATTAAAATAGGGACCCTGGTGAGAAACAGAGAACGATTTATAAAAAGACGGCAGAGGCTTATTGGGCCCAATGGATCTACTCTCAAGGTGGGTCAAGGTGCTATAATATACAAGCTCATTCAATACATTTCGTAAGATAACTCTTTTGTAGGTGAGGTTTGTGGATTATTAAGACCTCTGTTTGTGAGAGCAGTGTTATGAAATACTTGTCTTCTGATACAGGCTCTTGAACTGCTGACAAACTGTTACATCTTGGTTCAGGGAAACACGGTTTCATCTCTTGGACCATTTAATGGCTTAAAAGAGGTAAGATAATGCTTTAGAGTAAATTTGCCCCACTTTATTTTATGTCTATGAAGAATATACAGCTTTCATTCCTCATTCTGGGAATTCATTATTTGTTGGTTGGTTTTGCTGAAATGGTTTTTGTTTGTCATCTGTGGATGAATTTAGTTCTTAAAGTCCAGATTGCATAAATTAAGTGTGGGGGGTCTTTCCATCTGTATAAGCTCTTGAACAAAAGATATTTGGGTAAATGATAGAATGGAGACATAATGTCCAGCCATTCTTTATCAAAAGCAGAAACTTGTAATGCTGTATGACTTAAGCCAGGGGTCCTCGAACTTTTTAAACAGAGGGCCAGGTCACAGTCCCTCAAACTGTTAGAGGGCCGAATTATAATTTGAAAAAAAAATGAATGAATTCCTATGCACACTGCACATATCTTATTTGTAGTGCAAAAAAAAAAAACCCTCCACTTAAAAACAATACAATAATTAAAATGAAGAACAATTTTAACAAATATAAACTTACTAGTATTTCAATGGAAAATGTGGACCTGCTTTTCAGTGATGACATAGGATTGTTGTTGTTGTTTCAGACTTAGGTTGACCCTGAGAGTTGTATTCAGAGTACCATTGTACCATTGTTCTTTGCAGCAGCTGCCTTGATCTCACTAGGGTAAATGACATTGGAGGGCCATATCCGGCCCCCGGGCCTTAGTTTGAGGACCCCTGACTTAAGCCATTGTTTAGAAACTCAGTGGTTTTGTAGTAGACAAGTTCACAATTATGGGATTGATTTTCTCTACTGCAGAAGACACAGTTAGAACCTAAGGAAGTTGAATACCATAATTGAATAGGAATCATAATTTCTTTATACAAAAAAGTGTTCTTTGTTATCTCCAAGCTGCTGGTGGAGGGTTCGGGGAATTATTTGCATGTTAAACAGTTTAGAGTTAGAAATCCTTACCAATCTACCGCTGTTAATCTAAAGAACTCCTACCAGTAGTACACCATTCTGCTACACATTGGTTTAGCTGATAAAAAAGATAAACTTTCCTTTCCTTTCTTAAACCTAGGTTAGAAAAGTTGTTCTGGATACAATGAAGAATATTCATCCTATATATAACATCAAAGTGAGTGTGACTCTTAGTATGCAATACAATGTTTCATATGAGATATAACTTTGGGTACTTTTATCCTAATCTCACTGTGATGATTTTACTGTAGATCATTGCCTTTGGTGATCCCACTTCAAATTCCCACATGCTTTCCAGCATATTGCTGCTACCAGGATCCCCATGATCTATTTCAATTATCGTCTATGTTAGTGGTTCTCAACTTGTGGGTTCCCAGGTGTTTTGGCCTACAGCTCCCAGAAATCCCAGCCAGTTTACCAGCTGTTAAGATTTCTGGGAGTTGAAGGCCAAAACATCTGGAGATCCATAGGTTGAGAACCACTAGTTTATGTATATAGCTGATCTTTATTTGGTCTTAAGTCATGGATATAGCAACTAGATGGTAGTGGTGGTTATGACAAATTGTAAATGTAATTTCTCTAAAAGTCATGGGGTAATATAGATATTTTCATCTTTACTCTTTGATACATTAACACTTTGAGTTGACCTTTTAAATATTTTCTTTCCTACTTATTTTTTCTTTATTCCTTTTTTCTCTAACCTTTCCAGAACCTTGTTCTATCTGACACACTAATCATTGCTCGTCACATCATTCCGATATATATCTCAATGCATTGTCTCAACCAGTCATCATTCATATGTACATATGCTTCATGCAACTTTCTACAAGGTTTAGCCTCACTCTTCATACATTCTTTCAACCATATTTACCACCCAATATCACTATATAAATTATATTTATTTTCCATAATGTTGCAAGGTAGTGTTCCTTTTCAGACAGAAGAATTGTCTCCTGAGGTGACCAGTCTTGTTTCTTGAACATATGTACAAATCCAATGAAATGAAATTTGAAATTCCACTTCTGAGTGTATGTGGCAGATCTAGCATATCATTGACTATTGTACAAAGTATTCAAAGAACTAGATTTCTTAAGATTTTATTATTTGTTCAGTAATCAGATTGTCATCTACTGCAATAATACCTATTGTTAGATGATATTGTTTTATATCTGGTATTTCAAATATTTTTATCTCCCTCCCCCCAAATATACTTTAATAGATAAATAGAAAGAGTTGAATAAATTGTGTGTTCCAATTCATTCTTTGGTGTTTTTATGTGGTTGAAGACCCTAATGATTAAGAGGGAGTTGTCAAAAGATCCAGAATTACAATCACAGAACTGGGAACGCTTTTTGCCAAAATTCAAGCACAAGAATTTGAACAAAAGGAAAGAACCAAAAAAGAAAAGTGTCAAGAAGGAATATACTCCCTTCCCACCTCCACAACCAGAGAGTCAGGTATGTTCAGTCTCTTAATTTTGCTGGGCAACATAAAGAGTTTTGAAATTAATGAAGAGTAAAATGGATTGCTGTGAGATTATAGAGAAAATGCCAAAAAAGGGGAGGAGAACAAAATAAATAAACAAAGGTTGTAAAGAATGTTTATTGGTGTGACCTTCTCCAAACCTGGAAGAAGCAAGAATTAATACGTTATTGAGTATTTACCAATTTAAAATCTGAATAAAAAATAGCAGACCTTTAATAAAATTATGGCATTTAACTGCTTTATTGTTTTCTTGACTTGATACAGAGAAAGAAAACCTGTGTATTCACACACCTTTATTTTCTGGACAATGTATTCATAGATTTGTTATATTCTGTTTAATTTTAGCCACAGAATTTAGCCACATAATGGTTCAAAAGTTTTTCCTCCGATTAATGTAATTGGTTTCTAAATGGGAGATATGGCAGCATTCTCTAGTGTTGAACATATGTAATCCTAATTGTTATTTTTCAGGTTGATAAAGAATTGGCAAGTGGTGAATTTTTCTTGAAAGAAAGTCAAAAGAAGCGTAAGAGAGTAGAAGAGATAAAGGTATATTTATTTTGTCTTTTGAAGTCCTTTTGAATGAAGAGATTGGTATCACATGTTCATCTAGATGTTGGGTTGCAAACTAATCGTTTTAGCCAGCATAGTAACCACAAAGTTAAAACTAAATGGAGTTCCACACAGTTCCCACCTCTACCTTAAAACATGCATTTATATTGTATTTGATATTTGCTCATTGACATACCTGACCTTTTAAAAAACTTAGGCAAAACAAGCAGCGGCAATCAGCAAGAGACAAGAGGAGAGGAACAAAGCTTTTATACCCCCTAAAGAAAAACCAGCTGTAAAACAGAAGAAAGGTGAGTTAAGCACCACTATCTTCTATTTAAGCCTCAATTTTTGAAACTGCATCATCATTTTTGCCACTGGCAAAAGCCTAACATTGTAACTTCAAGCACTACTTAACAAGTTTGTGTTTGTCTGTATCTATATATGTATGCATCTGTTTTTCAAACTGTCCATCTCCAGTGTCAAGAGTCTGTCTTTCATTCATGAAACAAGCCTGGATAGGTGCAGATATGTTGCTTCCTTATTTTGCTGAGAATATTTCAACAAGTGATATTCTTGGCTAGTCCCAAATGATCCTTATTATTTCCGAACCTCAAATCTGCCTTAGAAGCACATGGAAGAGATTTAGGCTGCAGTAGTGTACGTTCTGTGAAATCTTCACAATAGTAAATACTGTTTAACTAGAGAAGGCATGACATTTATCAAAGACACTGGCAAGAAACAGCACCGGGGTGTTGCAGACAAGATGGATGTGTATTAAACTGCTTTTCAAGTCGTATTTGATTTCCCCAAAAGGCCATATTGATTATGTTGGTTCTTGAGTGTCAGCCAACTTAATATTATTGATATATTTCTGTGGCAACTCGGAGGTCTTCTTCCACTGCCTACGGTTCAAGTAATACAGTATAGTGCAGGCATGGGCAAACTTCAGCCCTCTAGGTGATAGGCTGTTAGGAATTGTGGAAGTTGAAGTCCAAAACACCTGAAGGGCCAAAGTTTGCCCATGCCTGGTATAGTGGCACCAATCAGGACAACTCACAGTGGTCACCTGTCTCTGCAGTGCAACGAGAGACACTACAACACAATATGTCAGAGTGAATAGAAGAGTGAAATGGAGTCATGCGGACTCCATTTTACTTTGCCTCTAGGGTGCTACAAGATCTTTTTGTGCTTAACTAAAACGATCAAGGGTCTGGAGAACAAGCCCTATGAGGAGCACCTTAAATTAAAGGCATGTTTAGCCTGCAGAAGAGAAGGCTGAGATGGGACATGATAGCCATGTATAAATATGTGAGGGGAAGTCATAGGCAGGAGAGCACAAGGTTGTTTTTTGCTGCCCTAGAGACTAGGATGCGGGACAGTGGCTTCAAACTACAAGAAAGGAGATTCCACCTGAACATTGGGAAAAACTTCCTGTGAGAGCTGTTCAGCAGTGGAACTATCTGCCCCTGAGTGTGCTGGAGGCTCCATCTTTGGAGGATTTTAAGCAGAGACTGGATGGCCATCTGTCAGAGGTGCTTTGAATGCAGTTTTCCTGCTTCTTGGCAGGGGGTTGGGACTGGATGGCCCACGAGGTCTCTCCCATCTCAATAATTCTATAATTAACAGTTTTTGTTTGGGTATGTGTATACTGCATGAGACAAAAAAGAACCATCAACAATGGTAAGTTCTCTAGTCATTTTGGTAGTTGCTTACCTGCGGCAGTGGCTACACTGGAGGACTGGTGGTGACCAGAGTTTAAAAGCATCTGGGTGGACAACACAAAACCCATCTATGTAATGATGTGTCCACAAACTTCTGGTGTTCAGATTGTAAGAGATTTTTTATATTCTTTATGTCATGTTTAAGCTAGGACTAGTTGGTGTATGTGAAATGTCAGGTTAACCATACAAGATATAACATAATAGTAATTTCTTCTATTTTGTAGCTCCTTCGGAAACAAAAATTGATATTGAAGCAATTAAAGAAAAGGTTAAAAAGGCGAAAAAGAAGAAGCTGGGAGCACTTCCTGTGGAAGAAGTTACGTTAAAAATTGCAGCAGATGAAAAGAAAAAGAAACTGCCTTTAAAGCTTGGTTCCAAGAGGAAGTCAGCAAACTAGATTCCTATCTTTACGTTGCTGCATTGACAGCAGATGTTGAAAAGCATGAACATTTAACATTATGTGATGTTTAAAAAAACAGCAATTTCAATGTTTGTACAGTCAAACCATCAGCTTCTTATGTTGCACTCTGAACAATACCAGTAATATTTGCAAATTTACAATACTCACTTGAACAAGCTGGTGGCTAAATACATTTACCAGTATATGGATATTTCTAGCATGCACAGAGCTTTCACTGAGGATGATGTACAGGATGTGAATATTGTCAATACATATTTTGTACTATTGTAATAAAGTGGTCCAGTAATAAACTGCAGGAAGTTCTTTGTAGAAAAAAATAAATATTTTCCTAATCCAATTTGTTTTTTCGTTTACCAAGATTACATGAACTACTTTTAAATATTGGTATTTTTTATGTTTTTTTTGGTCTGTAATAATAATAATAATAATAATTTTATTTCTTACCTGCCTCTCCTCGTGACTTAAGGTGGAGCACAACATAGTTAAAACGCTTAATAAAACATCATGTAAAATACATATATTAAAATTTGTTTCTATGAAATGCCTTAAAATACACAGAATAAAGATTAAAATACAGTAAAAACAGGGCAAGTTTAAAATTCATAGTTAAAAATTGACCTGCTGGAAGAGATAGGCATTTAATTGTGTCTTGAATGTTATGTATATTTGAGAGATGTACTTTTCAAATGCTGGGATAATTGAGCACTGACCTTGTTCCTGTGCTGCAGAGATTGACCAAGATGAATACATAAGTATAATAAACTTTATTTATACCCCATCACCATTACCCTGGAGAGACTCGGGGTGGCTCTCAAAGGCACTCTAGTGTGCCACACATAAAGTAGAAATACAAAAGTATAAAAACAGTACAACATACATTTAACCAAGTACAAGCGGACAGACAACATCAAATGATAAAATTTCAGATTTGAAATGCAGTAATACCTGTGAATAAACTGGGCATCTTCAAAACAAAGCACCAGAGTAACAATTAGTCCTCGCATGTAGCCATAGTGGACTACTCAGGGTCAAAGGTCTGTTTAAAAGCCAAGTTTCTAGGCTAGTCCAAAAGGTTTGGAGAGTGGAGGCTAACCTAATTTCTTTAGGGAGGGCATTCCACAGCCGGGGAGCCACCACCGAGGAGGCCCTCTCTCTCCTCACCAACAATACCTGAGACGGTAGCAGGACTCCCGGCAGATCTTAGATCTTGCACTGGTTCATCGAAGATGTGGTTTTGAGGACAGGTTGAACCCAAAGCGTATAGGGTTTTATAGATAATAACCAGCACTTTGTATTGGACCTGGAAACTTGGAAGGCAGTGGAACTGCTTTAATACAGGCATAGTATGCTCCCTATGGCTAGCTTTGGTTAGTAATCTGGCAGCTGATCTTCACACTAATTGCAGTTTCTGAGCCATCTTCAAAGGCAGTCCCACAAGTGTATTACAGTAGTCCATTCTGGATGTAAGTATGGCATGGGCCACCATGGCCAAGTCAGGTTTTTCAAGGTACAGTTGCAGCTGACGCACAAGTTTTAACTGTGAAAGCCCTCCTGGTCACCACTAGCACCTGAGCTTCAAGCATCAGCAGTGAGTCCAAGAGGATCCCCAGACTGCAGACCTGTGTCCTCAGGAGGAGTGTAATCCCATCGAGCACAGGTTGCCAGCCTATACCACAAACTTTGAATTTGTGTTCACTTTTAGATGGGTAGTGTACCATTTTATAAATTTCATGGTAAAAACATCTTGTATCTTTGTCATTAAAACAAAAAAGTCTCTTTTTGTGTTCCTCTTTAACTTTGAACAGCTTTGTGTGCCTTAGCAACACCAATATATTGTCTGTAATCGGCCAATATCTTATGCTAGCTGATTACAGTATCCTTTTGTCTTTCTGTACGATTCCTATTGTATTTTAATTTAAATATTTGATTTTTATCATTGTTGCTAGACTATAGCATTTTCTGTGAACATTTGGGGATAGCGGTGCTTCACAAATACTCCTGCAGCAAGTATCCCTATAAGAAAAGATGGTCTTAATATTAGTACGGTGATGCAGTACTGATCACAAGCTGGGTCCTTCCAGGCTTTACCTACAAAAGAAAAACATTATTTTCAGGGGGAGCTTCACTGATAGTAAATCAAATAGTATCACAAGAGAGCAGGACAAGCTTTAAACTACCTGGATTATTGGACTTAAAATGTATGAATAATTCTGACCCCTATCATGCAAAAAAGAAAAAAAAAAGGATTCTGAATTTTAAATGCAAGTCAAGAAACTTTGGCAGAATCTGTTGTGTTTAACCTGTAATCATGAGCTACCTGCTGTGTGCCAAATTACTCTTATTGTTCCATCTTAAATGCCTCTGCAAAATCAAAGTTCCTGGGATTTCTGATGTTCTAGATGAGGATCTGTCACATAGCAACCTCCTCAACATTCATTTGGGTACCCTACTAGTTCTGATCTAGCAAGCAAAGTATAAAATATTGGTCTGCTTGTCTCAGATTACCCAATGATTTAAAGGTCTGTAAAGCTGAGGTGAAATAAGTATAGCTGCCTGCATGCTGTGAGGCTACAAAGACCTCCATTAGCTATACCATGTATAACATTTATTTCTCCCTTTGTCCATAAATGGGAGTCAAGGTATCTTAACAAACTGAAACAAAAGCACAATAGATAAAAACATACAAATTATAGTTAATATGTAGTTAAAATGTCTATATAATCACAAAGCTTTTCCATTATGAAGGCAAATAACATTACAGCACATTAAGAGCCTTTTTATAAGTAGTTTCCAAAGGCCGGTTTATTTATTTTAAAAAAATCTAGAATCATACAAGTGGGAAGAGACCCCAAAGGCCATCCAGTCCAATCCCCCTGCAATGCAGGAACACAAATCACCTCTGACAGATGGCCATCCAGCCTGTACTTTAAAACTTCCAGAGGAGGCTCCACCACACTTCAAGGCAGCATATTCCACTGTCAAACAGCTCTTGCTGTCAGGAAGTTCTCCCTAATGTTAAGGGAATCTCCCTCCCCCCCTGCAATTTGAATCCACTGCTCCATTTTCCTGGTCTCCAGAGCAGCAGAAAACAATTTTACCCCTCTTCAATGTGACATCCTTTCAAATATTTAAGCATGACTATCTGTCCCCTCTCTTCTTTGCTTCAGGCTAAACATACTCTGCTCCCTAAGGCATTCCTAATAGGGCTTGGCTTCCAAATCTCTTGAATGGAGGACAAGCAGGAGGAGAAAGGAGCTCCTAGGAGAAGCCTCTGAGAAGGATTTCCCTGAACTTTCTCCACAGAGAATTTTAACTGATGAGATTTAAAGAATGGCATTCCTTGAAAATCTTAAACATCCTGACAAGCTCATATGGGAGTATACAGGCCTTCTGATAGCCGGATCCCGCGTCATACAGGGTTTTATAGTCAGGTCAACATTCACACTTGTGCCTAGGAAAAGATTGGTAGCCAATGAAAACTTGCCATGCTGTCTGCAGCCAGCCCCAGTCAACAAGTGACTGCATCCCTTTAGGATTAAGGCTGATGAGTCACAATTCAACAACACTTGAAGAATCTAGAACGTGCTTGAATGCTATCCTGTAATCCCAAAGGTGGCCACCCCAGGAAGTGTATTTTCCTTCCCTCAATTTAATTAATGGGTCATTCATGACCTGAACAAAATTATCTTTTTGCAATTAACTACAGTAATGAAATAAATCTGAGTTTCTCGGTGAGGTAGAATATATTTGTAAACACATCTGCAATTATTGCCTCCTGTCCATTTCTTTCTCCCTATCCTTGAGACACAGGGCTAAGTTGGTAATTTTGAAAATGGTGGCTATTGGGGGGGGGGGGGAGAAGAAAATTAATGAGTCCACTTTGAAAGTACACAAAATGTGTGGTATGCCTTTTCAGAGATTGGTTCTGAGATGTATCCAGGTAAAAGATCATCTGCTTAATCCTTTCTCTGAGAAAACTGTAAATAATTCATCTGAAGCCTAGGTGTACTTGCAATATAAAATGGCGAGGCCCTGCTAGCTCAAACAGCAGGGAGACCTTTGTAGTACTGTTTCCAGCAGAGTGTTTGTGGAAAAACTAATCGGCGTGCTTTCTTGCAAGGCAATGATTCCCATGGCTCTAAAGCATAGTGTGAAGATTATTTGGCTAGAAAGTGCCTGCTGCCAGGAAACGGCAAAGTATTTCCAGCCCTTAGCTCTGGCTCACAAGAAAAGGTTTTGACATTTTTATCTACATGATATTCCACATGCAGAGAGAAAGTTCAGTGTCAACTGAGCAGTATGCGAAGATAGCCTGCAATTTATTTCCTGGCAGGACTATAATTTGTTTTTCCTTTCACTATGGAAATCATCACTAAAAAAAGGCTTGGAAATGTCTTTATACAATAGGAGAGTTTAGTTCCAGAGTTTGGTTCCAGGATCCCCTGTGGATAACAAAATTTGTGGATGTTCAAGTCCCATGGTATGAAATGGGGTAATAAAATGTCATCCTTTATGTATAAAAGCAAATATCTGAGTGCTGAAAAGAGACCGAGGGGACCTGTGTAGAAGGGTACAGTAGGGTATGTCTACCCATCAGTGTAGTGCTCAGCATGTGACAGAATCAAGATTTGCTTTTTGGATTTTGGAGCTATGGTTTGCTGAATCTGTGGACGCAGGGGGCTGACTATGTAGCATACTTCACATTGAGCTTTCTACATGGATTGTCTTGCTTGGATTCCAGTAGCTACTGACTTCAATTGGTTCAATTTAAACTTGGGCAATTGCTCTTGGTTTGTCCCAATATTATTCCTTTCAGCTGTTCTTTCTAAATGACAGTGTAACATGTGAAAATAGGGTTGTTTTTTTTTTCATTGTTGTTTTCCATCTTAACCCATAACTATGTTCCTTCTTTTCCAGGAAAACATTTTTATTTTATTGCAAAGTGTGCTGAAATAAGATTAAATTGGCTATTGCCTCCTCCTTGCTTATTTCATCCCTCTGTATCATCCAAAACCAAGATGCTAACACAGACTATGAAACCTGTAGACCAGGGGTGTCCCTTATTTTCACTGAGGGCCACATCAGCCTAATGGTTGCCTTCAAAGGGCCGTTTGTAATTGTAAGATTGTATACATGTAACAATGTTGCCGTGGCATTGATAGCCCTGTGAACCATAAAAATGGTGGGCCAGATTTGGCCCGTGATTGCATTTGACATACATGCTGTAAAAAGTTGGTCTTATGCCTAGTAGTAGAAGACCAACTCACAACAGCGGTGGAGAAATATCTCCTGGTTCTCCAGCTTAGTTAGTAGAACACTATTGGATGTGGTCCAATCACTATCCATGAATGTCCTGTTTCTAATGAAAAACATACATTTTAGAATACTGTCTTGCTTCACCTGGCCATGATATGAGTTGAAAGTACAGTGCCTCCTAGAACAATCCATACTATTGAATATCATTTGATGTTTAATCAATTCAGAAAATGTTGAATATTTCTTATCCAAAATGCAAGGTACCAGAAGTTTATTTAAGATTTTGGAAGGTCTGCCTTGAATCAGAAATTAAGAGGGGAAAGTGGACTAGTCACACAATCAGTGTCATCCGGAGTTTTTCCTCAAGAACTCATTCCTTTAGCTGTCAGCACACTTTCTGGCCTTTTTAGCAAAGTGGCCAGAAAGGGATCAGAAAATCCTCCCATAATATCCCTCATTGAGCTTTTTCCATTCTCTCTGGACTAAATACAGGTAGCAGTGCATTTCCATAGCACCCACCATGCTATGTGTCTTTATTGGCTGGGTTGAAGATGAGCATGGAAGCTTCAGTGATATCTGCTTTTAGCAGGAGTCTTGTGTAAGGAGAATTGTTCCCTCTCTTCTCCTCTTTTTCCCTGCCAGGGTTCTTTAAGGAAAAACTAAGCAGGAATTGGAGGTGTTACTAACCCCTTTTCCCCAAAGTTGGAATGGGGCAATTGGTAGCACCAAGGTTTGGATTATAGATTTTCAGGTAAGGGAGACTGGATCTATAATATAATATTGTGATATTAACTATTCCTTGAATATTAGCAACTACTTTTGGATTATCCAGCACCAGTGACTGTCTTTTTAACTGAGGATATCCTAGCTTGAGTAATAACAGATGAATCTATGGGTAAATTATGAGTGTACAGCAAAACTTCAATATTTAAACAGTTTACACTTACAACTAAGCACTATCTTGTAAAAACTGTCAATTCATAGTTGTATTTCCTGTTAACTTCCTCTTTACTTACCACAGAGTCTGTCTACACATGGTTCTCCCTGACACTCACTGCATACTGCTCCTGTTTTGTATGGTTTCGTTGGATAATTTCCACTGTGTAGAAAGGAAACAGGTAGAGGGTGAATTACAGGTCCTTGTTACAATTTTAATCAAACTATTCCAACTGAAACTGTAGTAAAAATGTAAGCACTAAAGAGAAGGAATAATTTGTGAAGACAAAAATCACAAAAGGACTCTTCTGAACATTTAAAAATTGATTTATTTAGTTATTGAATTTATATCTCATTTTTTTCCTAGGATGGGTTGCAACAAGTATAAAAAGATTAAAGTAAAACCAATTTACAAAAGTTAAAAAACAGAATTATTTTGAAAAACATGCTTAAAAACTTCTAAAACTTGATTTCTAGTAAAAGATTATTTTTTAAAAAAAAAAAAAACCAGAATATGTACTACATCAAATTAAAGACTCATTTTTCCTTCCAAAATTAAGACTGAAATGACATCATTCACTGATGTTCTTATCCATTTGGCAATTATCTACATTTCACAATGGGTCACAGCCTCAGATTCTCATCAGAAGATTTCAACTCACTTTCCATCCTGTGATAATTGAATTTTGAAAAATGTAGCTTGTTGTGGAAACAAGGATTGGTGATAAAGCTTCAGTAGAGCTACCTTTCCCCCCATAACTCTTTCAGTAGTTAGTTTCCCTTCCTTGGGGTAGATTTCTCTCCCCCCCCCCCCCCCCCAAATTCTTAACAAGGTATCGTTTGTAAGTCGGACGCTTGTAACTCAGAGAATGCTTGTAATTGCTTGTTGAATTTTCAGGACTATGGACAGAGTTGAGTGTATGAGGACCCTTCACTTTCACAAGGAGTTACTCTCCAGGTCCTGTACTGTAATACCCCCAATTACTGGCAATTAGCTATTTGGGCTGAAACTTATGACAGAGTCACCAACTACCTGCTACACACCATGGCTCTATTCTCTTTTTTTAAGTGCTAAAAGGATGAATGTTATTATATTCTTCAAGTTACGCTTTTACACTTTTCTCCACTTTCAACAAAAAATGACAGTAGGCAGATTCTAGATTCTAAATTTATCTCTTCCTGGGAGAAATTCTTATACTCAAAAACTTACCCAGGTCCATAGTTGCAAATTAAATGTGCAGCATTAGGATAACTGAAACCTCTTACTCTTGGACAGAAGTGAACGGCACAACCAATTTTGTAACTTGTTGCCCAGACCATCTGAAATGAAATTGGAATATTTCTTGATGATTCAATGTTTGCCCAGACTTAGCTTGAACTTCTATATTATACTGTTTGTATATAATTAATAAACATGAAACAAAGCTCGTGAATTGGTTTAAAGACAAATATGCAATGCTAATGTTTGCTAGAAATGAATTAAGAAACAATGGATCTGCTTGCAAGTAGAGTGAGTCAATAAGTACTAGAAAAGTACCATGTAGCTTGAGCATGCTGACATGTTCACATTGTGTCTGTGACTTTCCCAGACAGATAATGCTTCCACTATTATTTATTTGTCGTGTCAGGGCAACCAGTCAATTGTATTACATCTCTAACAGAACAAAACAAACAAATAGACAAAACACAAAATCTGCAAGTTTGGTAGTTGATTAAATGTCCTTTGACCAGTATCTGGCCACTTGGAGTGCTTCTGGTGTTGCTTCCACTAATACTTTATAACTCTCTGCTCATGAAGCTATAATAGATTATTCTGAATCTTCTTCATATTTGAGCACACAAAGACCTTGGTTGATAAATATGTGTAGCTGAAATGGGGGAACCATTTCAGCTTCCTAGATAACTTGCAAAGCTTCCTAGATAACTTGCAAAATATGGCATTTAAACAAATTAATATCTATGTAACTTACTGATTTAAAAGAGAAATGTCATTACTGTGATGGAACTGTGTAAGTCCCAGCTCCTCTTAGGCTGCCCCACCCACAGTTAGAGAACAGTTACTTTTCTGTTAGTTTTATGAAGGTGCAGCTTAAGGAGACTCCTCCTGGGTAGATCAATAAGTTTGCATGCCCCTTTTTGCCCAGGTAAAGAGAGCCACCTTTAGTTTAGGGTTATTACCATCAGGGAATCTTGGAAGCAAGACATGTCTGTAGTTGGTCCCAGCAAGATTCGGGCTTGGACAAACCATTTCAAACCAATAACTAACTAATTAACTAATCTGGGAACTCACCCAGTGACAGTCTGTGGAATAACCAGCACCTTCAGCCAGGTGCGAGGCCTTAATAGGAGAGACCTGCTCTCTCTACCTCTGGCCTGACAACCTTGGACATTGGGCGCCCCAGAGGCCCCTCTACCAGAGAAAGTGAGCAAGGGAAACTTTCATCTGTTCTTCGTCTCTGGAATCATTCATGACCAGCAACTTCAAAAAGAACCACTTACCTTCAAACTTTAAGTATGGACTTTGTTGTGGGGAAACCAAGATAGTGCCTGGGTGGAGATAGGCCCCAAACCAATTAATAAATGATTACCGTTTCTTGAAGACAATAGCATGGACATTGATTCTGTGGGATTCCTTGCTCAAACAGAAAGGCAATCCAGCATTCCTCAAGCTGATAGAAAGTTGGGTCACGTTAACACTAAAGAAATGTAAAACAGCTTGGGTGCAACAGCACAATTACTATTTAAAACTAATTTGTCCAGTTTTCTTGGAGGGCCAAGAAGGTCACGATTAGCATTCTCATCCTGAAGATGAAAGAGCAAGTCTGAAATATTTTGTCTTGTGCAGACTGACCTCCTGGTTATAGAGTCAAGATTTGCAGCCATCTCTTTGTTTCAAAGTGTTTGTTTAAAACTACATTATCTTGCATCTTGAGACATTAGCAATAGCTTACCTGAGTGTAATGTCCACATACATAACTGCAGTGTTGAGTATCATAGTCATAATACTTGACTTCATTGTACCAGTTAGTGAGGGCTGCAGTCACATTAAAAAGTGAAAGGGAACCTGTCCAAATGTTTTCTCCAACTACTGTAAAGTTGGGGTGAACCTTCCCCAATATTTTGAGGTCAGGATTATGTTCAAATTGGCACATTTTTGACCAGCCTTTTGCAGTCTTTGCTAGATCATGGTCCCAGCTCTACAAAAGAATAACAAAAGGTTAAGATCATTTTATGTGATATTCTAGGATATTATAAGATTTAAAAAGAACAAAAAGGTGTTTTCAAATCAATTGACTCCATGCTAAGTAGAGCAAGGGGAACAAAAAAGCTGTAAAGCAATAATCTATCATGAGAGGGCACATTAAGCTTTTTTTTTTTTTGTCGTGTCAGGAGCGACTTGAGAAACTGCAAGTTGCTTCTGGTGTAAGAGAATTGGCCGTCTGCATGGACGTTGCCCAGGGGACGCCGGGATGTTTTGATGTTTTTTCAAAACGTGGGAGGCTTCTCATGTCCCCGCAATGGGGAGCTGCAGCTGATAGAGGGAGCTCATCTGCGCTGTCCCCGGATTCGAACCTGCGACCTGTCGGTCTTCAGTCTTGGGTTTAACCCATTCCAACAAAAAAAGGTACATCATATATATATATATATATATAATATCCAATCATGCTTCAAACATTTAGAAACAGTATTAAAAGGCTACAGCATCAATTGACACTCTACGTAGGCAGGTGGTCCTACATAACATGTTTATGTGAAACCAAGATGTAACAAGCACATATTTTGCTTTGTTCTTTCCATCCCAATTGTCTTCTTGTCAGTTTGAAGAGGAGTGACTTTGCAGTCAGCAGAGGCTCCCAATATTGACTGCCTGAAACCAAGAAACAAATGGCACCCTTACCTAGCCAAGTCAAAAGTTAGACAAGTTATACTAAAACCAAGACAGAAACATCCCACACAAGTGCCTCTTCCCTAATTGGCAGTGAAAATGTAGTAATTACAAATTAAACAAATGCATTTTTGTCCTTTTGTGATACTAAAAACCAACTGCCTGTAATTTCACTCTGATGTATAGGAGGGACAGTACTGCCTGGAGTAGTTGATGTGGTAGCTGCTCACTGATTTTCATTTATACTGTTGCATTCAGAGATTGATACATGCTAGATGGAGACATAAAGGCAAGGTTGGGAAACCAGGTCTTGGAGAGGCAGGCCTGTAGCCAGGATTTCGTTTCGGGTGGGGGGGGGGCTGAATTTTTTTCAGGGGTTTTTTTGGGGGGGGAGGGGGGCTGAGTCTGAGTGAAAGAGGGTCTAGCCTAGCAAACTTTTTGTACCATTACCCCAATACTCCCATGCATATGGGATATATTGAGTATGGTGATCAGATCATGATATGAATAAACATAACAGTTTAAATAATGCACCAGTAAAGCCTTTTCGCAAACCACCATGAGAATTTCAGGAGGGGGGGGGGCTGAAGCCCCTCAAGCCCCTCCCCCCCGGCTACATGCCTGTGGAGAGGTTCATGTCTGTACCACTGTGTAGCAGAGAGAGATTTGGGGACTACTTTCCAAGAAACTATCTGGAAAGACATGGCATGTATGCACAAGTTATGTAAGCAAGGGTAATGAGGTGGTCAACATTAGGGATATTGTACACAAATACAAAAAAAGCTGAGAGATGTATATAACAGGCTCTCAATTTTCTTGGAGGTTTGAGGTGCAGGATCCCTGCAAAACTGAAAATAATGCAAATAAAAAGGCTCTTTTTTAACCTGAGGGAACACCTTTCTAGGAATCTCTAGAATCTCCAGTGCAACTCTATAGTCAGCTTTAGCTTGACGTTAATCATAGAGTCATACTGTGGAACTAGAATAGACATGAACAACATGTGGTCCAAGGGTTTGGTGTGGCCCACAAAGGCTCTGAGCTTAAACCTTAGAGAGGGAGGTCATATGCAGCATTACAGCGGAATAGCAACTGGAACCTGTCATTTTCTCCTCCAAGTGTTTTACCTCTGCATGTTTCCTTTCTGAATGCACCAAAGTTACCAAAGAAACCTGTGACAAAAGCACCATCAATAGATCCAGTTAGGATGCTGAAAGTGCTAGTCTCAGTTGAAATGTAGTCTAGGGAAGTTGTTGGACTTAAGTTGGAGCAGTAGGAAACATGGATATAATATTAAGGGCTATCAGTGAGTGAGGCATGCTATTCTAGCATATCTCACAAAAAAAGCCTATCTACAGCCCAAAGAGATCTAGCCTATTTAATTTCAGACCCTTACTACTGCCAAGTTGTGCAGGGCTGATCTAGAGATAGCTAGAAATAACATATTAATCCAATAATGAAATCTAGAAAAGTTAAACAAGCAAATGTGGAGAGCTGACTGTAATACCAATTAAGAAGTCTGAAAGGAATGGGAGTACTTTTTGTAGGATAAGTATCTATTGAGGCACTAAAGGAATATGCGTAGCAGCAAAAGAGACAGCAATATATGGTTATATTCACTTACAGTGTTTGAGGAGGAGGATAGCACAAGTAAAAGAAATGAGGCATGCTATTCTTACAATCTGTCAGTTGGGTTCAAGACATTTCAGAAAGGAGAGAGAGAGAGGGAGAAAGAAAGAAAGATGATGAGCAACGTCTATTGATATGAGTCACATACTGAGAGAAGAGTTATAGAGCCAATGATGGTTTGTGGATGAAGAGCAATCAGATATTTGGATGATCAAAATGTGAATCAAGGCTTAGAAATGCTTTCATTTCATAAAATCATAAAATCATTTGGAAGAGACCTTGTGGGCCAACCCTCTGCCAAGAAGCAAGAAAATTGCATTGAAAGCATCCCCACCAGATGGCCATCCAATCTCTGCTTAAAAGCCTCCAAAGAAGGAGCCTCCACCACACTCTGGGGCAGAGAGTTCCACTGCTAAACAGCTCTCACAGTCAAGAAGTTCTTCCTAATGTTCAGGTCGAATCTCTTTTCCTGTAATTTGAAGCCATTGTCCACGTCCTAGACTCCCTCTTCCCTATGACTTCCCCTCACATATTTATACATGGCCATCATGTCTTCTCTGAGCCTTCTCTTCTGAAAGCTAAACATGCCCAGCTCTTTAAGCAGGTCCTCATAGGGCTTATACATATACATTGCCAACTTGGGAGTTGGACGCTATATCTTTGTCTGCATGAACATATACACATCTCAGCAATCCTTTCCTTGATACAAAGGAGAGTCGGCACTGAATGAGTGATCTCTTTAAGAGAGAATGGATATTCTTTCCATTGCATCTCCCAATCATCTTGGTACAAACCAGTCTTTTTTTTTTTGTTCCAGAAAGAGAAACCTGAACATTTTTTTTAATCAGCAATAGAAGAATGTAATACCAATGAGGAAATATCAGGAAATCCAAGGGCCTTACACTTTTCTTAGAAAGTGAAAGCATTTATGTGATACAATAACATATATATGTGTGTGAAAATGTGTTAATTGTGTTAGCAATACATTACCACAGCATTAACTTTCATACATTATACTAGGTAACAAAATTTGAAAAAAATATTTCTGATTTGAAAGTGTCAATTTCTGTTTAACTGTGTGGTACTTACATTGAAAGTAGTTTTTATACTTCATTTTTGTGGCTGCCACAAACTATGTTGAATTGGTTGAGACTTCATTAAAAAACTATAGCAAAATGTGCAGCAGGATGTCTCACAAAAATGAAGTTTTTGTAGTTTACTGTACTTTCCCCATGTTTTAATGATAGAACCAATGAAGAAATTACATTTATCACAAAGGAACAAATCATGTTACATAGTGTTATTGCCTCCTGTCGGATTCTGAATGTACCCAGAATGCCATAAATTAGTCTACTTCAAGCAAAGACAATCCAACACAGAATGAGTAGTATTTGCAGACGAGCACAGAATAACTATGGTCTGCAGACTTACTTGTTTTTATTGCTCTCAGACTGAGAGCTATTATGGTGTGGTGATTTGAATGTTGGACTAACATTAAAGAGAAATGTCCACAATGCATTCTAATAGAGAATAAAGATTACTGTTGAGAGCCTTTATTATTAATTTTTCCGGTTTGAGGGCGTGGTCACTAGTCCTATATTAAGTGCATCACCTCTGGGACATTTTGATGCTCCCAGCTCTGCCCCAACAATATTAGAAAAAGGCCCTAATCACTTCTGCTGTTAACGTTATAATGAAAAAGGCATTAACAAGAGCATATTTCACAACTCTCTATCTGAATGTTAGTGTGCAGGCTTTCCCCAAATTCTCCTAGTCTGTTTCAAGGTGCACTGTGGTATTAGCATGGGACTTCCGGGGACAGGAAAAATATAACTGCATCTGAGATACACACTATTTAATCAAATATGCAAATATTCCTTGAAAAGAATGGCCACTAAAAAAAAGTTATACTTTGATCATTCTGCACTAAGAAACATGATTCAATAGGGCTTTATGCTCAAAGCTATGTTCACTTAATCTAGTAATGATGCGAAATCTGCAGAAATATTTCTACGCTGCTATAAACTTGCAATAGCATAAACAAAAGCAGTTTGGTATTTTCAGTATCTATAGATAAAGATCATCTTACCATTCGTTTCATATTGCTTGCTGGTGGAGTCACACCGGATCGGAAATGATTGTGCACTCTGACATATTCTTCAATAAATTGTGCATTTCCAATATCTGGCAAATTATTTTGGTCATAAAAATAGCCACAAACGGAGAGATTCAGAAACACCAAAACACCAAGTGACACACTGACTGCTGTCATTCTGAAGTCCCTCTCTTGACTGCCCAGATGGCAAAATATTGCAGCTATAACGGTGCTTTTTGTGATGTTTGGCTTGGAAAGTCCATGTTGTCTTTTATCTTACTTTACTTTCTTTGGTATATTACTGCAGATAACAGGAAATGAATCAGTTACAGCAGCTTTAGCTGAAAGCAGAAGCTGATGAGTCATTTGAACTGTTCCTTTTCTTACACTTCCTTATATATCTAACATTTCTTCATGTCATGGATATATGTGCTCATAGCTTAACTAGAGAGGGAATAATAGAGTTACTGGGTCAAATCAGCACTGAATACTGTAGTATTCTTAAATCAGTCTCTTTATTATTTTAATGTCCTATATCCCAACACATTTTCTCCAAAGAAATCTCATACGTTTCAGTGGTTCATGCTTTCAAGTCTTATTTCATTGGTAAGTTCATATACAGCATATAGTCTTGCATACGAGATATATATTTTCTGTTTTCAAGAATAAAGAAATTACTAATTCTAATTAAGTTGGAGGAAAAATTGATTTTCTTATCTATTTTGATTGGGCATTAGACCTGATTTGGAACTGACATTTCCTTTGTCAAGGAACATGTGAAGTGCAACCCTTTTGATTCTCCTGGACTTCCTAGGAACATTCAGTATCAAGGACCATGACATGCTTCCAGAGAGGCTGTCTAAGTTGGTCTGTTAACCCAAGTAGGTTATAGTTCTATGTAAGATATAGTTTAAATGTGCAATGACTACTGGAATGATCTGGACTCTGATTGCGGATAGCATGTTTTTATAGTGTTTGTAATGTTTTTAAAATGTTTTAATGGATTTCAATATTAATATTAATTTCAATGTTTATTTTAATTGTATATTGTTAAGGCATTGAATTATAGCCTATATGTAAGCCACCTTGAGTTCCCTTTGGGGTCATGAAAGGTGGGATATAAATGTAGTAATAAATAAATAAATAATGTAATAGAGGTACAGCTGGTAGATAATTCTTCTATTTTGGTATTTAACCTGTTCTAGTATTTATTTATGTATCTACTATATTTGTATACCACTTTTCTCAGCCCTCGGATGACTCAAAGCGGTTAACAGTAGCAAAATTCAATGCTCAAAACATCATAAAACAATTAAAAACAATTAAAACAGTAGCAAATAAACAATCATTATACATCAATAAAACATCTCAGGCACTGCAATCCTCCTAAAACATCAGAGTTGGCATTCTACATTACAGTTTTATATTAATAATGTATTGTCATGGATTCTGCCATGTTCCAAAATCACAACCTTATTTATTTATTTATTTATTTACAATATTTTTATCTTGCCCTTCTCAAGCCTGAAGGCGACTCAAGGTGGCTTACAGATTGGCAGCCATTTGATGCCACAACAGTCCACAGTTAAACCATTTAAAACAACATTATAACACAATAAAAAAACATTTAAAACATATAGTAACCAATGTCTTCCTGTTAATCTCGTTTTCCAGTAGCATCATCTAGGCCATTCCATGTTTCAAACTTACATAATCCTGTGTTTGTCTATTGCACTGCATTTCCAAAGGCTTGTTCAAAGAGCCAGGTTTTTACTCTTTTTTTTTGGAAGGTCAGGAGGGAGGGGGCCTATCTAATATTCCTAGGGAGGGAGCTCCACAGCCAAGGGGCCACCACTGAGAAGCCCTGTCTCTCGTCCCTGCCAGACATGCCTGTGAAGAAGGCAGGATTGAGAGCAGGGCCTCCCCAGGTTATCTTAAATTCCTAGATGGCTTGTAGGGAGACATACGTTCAGACAGGTAAGCTGGGCTGGAACTGTTCAGAGCTTTATAGGCTAAAGCCAGTACTTTGAATTGTGCCCGGTAGCAAACTGGCAGCCAGTGAAGCTGGCGCAACAGAGGAGTTGTATGCTCCCGGAGCTCTGCTCCAGTTAGCAACCTGGCTGCCACCCACTGGACCATTTGCAGCTTCTGAACAGTCTTCAAAGATAACCCCACATAGAGTATATTTCAATAGTCTATATGGGATGTAACTAGAGCGTGGACTACCGTGGCCAAGTCAGACTTCCCAAGGTATGGGCGCAGCTGGTGCACAAGTTTTAACTGTGCGAATGCTCCCCTGGTCACCGCTGAGACCTGGGGTTCCAGGCTCAGCGATGAATCCAGAACTCCCAAGCTGCGAACCTGAGCTTTCAGGGGGAGTGTAACCCCATCCAACACAGGCTGTAACCCTGTGCCCTGTTTGGCCTTTCAACTGACCAGGAGTACCTCTGTCTTGTCTGGATTCAATTTCAATTTGTTTGCCCTCATCCAGACCATAACAGCGGCCAAGCACTGGTTCAAGACCTGGACAGCCTCCTTAGTTGCAGGTGGGAAGGAGTGACAGAGTTGGACGTCATCTACGTACAAGTGACACCGCATCCTGAAACTCCAGATGATCTCCCCCAGAGGTTTAATGTAGATGTTAAATGACATGGGGGACAGTATTGATCCCTGCGGGACCCCACAGAACAATGGCTGTGGGGTCAAGCATGTGTCACCCAGCAACACCTTCTGGGAACAGCCCTCTAGGAAGAACTGGAGCCACTGCAAAACAGTACCTCCAAGGCCCATTCCCGTGAGGTGTCCCAGAAGGATACCATGGTCAACAGTATCAAAGGCTGCTGAGGGGTCCAGCAGAATCAATAGGGATACACTCCCTCTTTCTAGCTCCTGGCACAGATCATCCACTAAGGTGACCAAGGCTGTTTTGGTTCCATGTCTCAGCCTAAAGCCAGGCTGCATCGGATCCAGATAATCCGTGTCTTCCAAGAATACCTGGAGTTGTGAAGCCACCACACATTCCAAGACTTTGCACAGAAAAGGGAAATTGGAAACTGGTCGATAGTTGACGAATTGAGAGGAATCCAGTTATGGTTTATTCAACAACGGTCTTGGCACTGTCACCACAATTGCAAATACCACAAGCCTTAAAAACCAGTGGCCATATCAAGTGATAGAGATCCGTTCTGGTCGTGATTAGGGCACTGCACAACAATGTTGTCAGTTTCTCCCATTAATTATCTGTAGTCCAATAAGGAGTTGCTATGGGGGGCCGTTTCTGATCTACTCCAGATCACTGGCAGGAGGCTGTAAACATCACTCTGCTGTACCCCGACTGACAGCAAAACATATCTCTTTCACTCAGTGTAACTGCTGGCTATTAAAGTAGATTTGGAGAATCATGTCATTAGAGGTCCAGGAGGAATCTGTGGTCTGCAATGTCTTTTATCAGCTTTATTTGACATACCAATTCCAACTATAGATGCAAGGAGATAGTTGGAAGTTTTCAAAGTTTTGGTAGTCTTTGTGTAAACTGTGTTCTGTATGAAATTGCCCTTGAAAACAAATTTCAGATTGTTCAAAACTGGGGCATGACATTTATAATTGGGACTTAGTATTTCAGTCATGTTGTAAAAGTGCTTAACTGAACTAACTAACATCTCCAGGATGTAACTATCTAGACCTTAAGATTGGTTTTAGAGACTTTGATTCACAGGCCTCCGGGAAATGAGATGAGGCCTTTTTGACAGCAGCATATTGGTTGTGGAATAGCATTCCTAAAATGGGTTGCCAGACACTTTAATTATGGTTTCTTCACTGAGAATCTTTTTGTTCTTCTCAGCCTTTTATATTGCTATTTAAAAAAATTCAAATGTTATACCTATAATTTATTGTATGTTTATACTTTACAATGGTTTTACCTTTTATCTCATTCTGGAAATATGTTATTCTGCTATTGATCTGTTTCTTATAGTGTTCTTTTGTAAGTCACCTAGAAAACATACGTTATATAAATGCAATTAAATTGATAGCATAGGAGGCCTGTAGCCACAAAATACCCTTAATAATGTCAAAGCTGATACTGTTTGTACTGCCCTAGAAACACTAAAACAAATCTGGTGAGGTTTTCTGTATGATTAGTTCTGGACTCAGGAGTTTCCAGCTTGTAATTAAAGAGAAGGATGCAATCAAGGGCTAGTTAGAAAACTATGTGCTTGGAATATTTATTTTATTTATTTTTAAAATCACAACATTGTTTGCTCTGTACAGAAAAGACAGACCCCTCTTTCCAAAATGAAAAGAACATTTCCCTGCTATTAGTACAATACAATTGGACCCAAACATGGTCTTTACATTTCAAGAAGTTTTCTGTGCTAGGGAATTAGTGCAATAAAGAATGAGGCAGTACTTACTAATTAGCTGAAACTTGACATCACAGTTGAGAAAGAGAAAAAGCAGGGCATGCAGTCCATCAATGGAATTCAACTGGTTCTTAAGCACAGATAACAATGGTTATTCCCCACCTCACTTTCTTCAAGAATGGGCCTGGCATTTCAGTCTTCCTGTAATGTTATTATGACTGAATTGTGTGTTTCACACCAAAACAGGATTTTCTTGTAAAGATTTATTCAAAGGTCTGTGATTGCCTTCCTCCAAGCATAAGAGCATGTGACTTACCCAAGGTCTCCACATGGGTTTCCATGCATGAGAGACTTCCAAGTCATTCTGTTAATGATAGGTCTTTGATATTAAGGGTACGTCTTTTAACTGGGTAGATTCAGCTGTCTACCTCTTTCCCCACTGCCTTCTACCTTAACAAGCCGTACTGTCTTTTCTAATGAGTGTCTTCTCGTAATATGAAGACAGTATGGCAGTCTCAACTGAATCATCTTGACTTCTAATTGATGTGTTTAGTCTAGGAACCATTTATGTATTTTCATCAGTCCGTGGTATTATCTTCTCAATTTTCTTGCCTTTCAGCTATTTCACCAGTTTTTTTTAAACGATAAATACTATAGTCATGAATGTTTAAACAATGGATGAAGGAGGAAAAGGACTATATTTTATTTTGTATATTTTGATAAAAATATACAAAATTGTTAGGATCAACTGTTTTATTTGTTATCTTGTAAAATTAAATTCCATCTTTAAAACTGTTAGCAGTAACATTAAGCATAAGGGCCAAAGAAAAACTGGCCCATCGTTATAATCAGGACTGAGTTTGTCTATGTTGACATTATTAGGTGCTCTGAATTGCAAATATTTTGATACTGATAACTGCAAATGTTATAACTCAGTTCTATAATTAACTTTATTAAATTAAAATGCTTAAAATTTGTAGCAAAGGTTATTTGGCAGGCTTTGCCCAAGTAAATGTTTCTGATTAAAGTAAAGCAGGAAATGGCTAGGCCACCCCCAAATCAAGATGCAAGAGATTCAAAAGTAAGTCAAATTATATTGGCACTTGAGACAAAAACTGTAACAGCAACAACAACAAAACCCAAAGGTCCTTCACAACTCTTTTGACAGTATATATACAATAATAATGAAGAACAGTTCCCTGTGTTTTCATAGCACCCAAAATTGCTGTGCTGAGGCAGACACCCCATTCTGCCTTGTGGTAAGACTTGCTCTATCTACGGAATGTTATATCCTACTTTGGAGAAACTACTCATGCATAAACATCTGTGGGTACTGCTTGGATAGCAGGATCACAGTGCCAGAAGTAATTAACAGAGACAATATTCTTAAAATTAAAACAGCAATACAGAATGAGTCACATGCTGAGTGTGATGGAGCTGGAGAGGAAGGAGAGGAATGTGGTGGCTTTGTAGGGTATGAAGAAAGGGGTTGTGAAGATGCGTTTGGTGAGGAGTTTGTTATATCCCTCTCCGGGAACCAATTGAGGTAACCTAAAATATAAACATGTCTTAGTCTTAGAAAAAGATTAGAGCAATTCTGAAAAATAAAGAATGCATTCCAAGTAAGAACAAATAACACATGCTTCTCAATTGATCACGCTCGGGATTTTCTGAAAAGGAAGTTTTATAAATATGTATTAAATACAATTTAGTGCTCTCCCTATCAACAATCTCTGTTCAAATCTGATCGGGAAAAACTTCATGGTAAAAATGTTTCTCAGTCATTATTTTAAAAATTATGTAAATAAATAGGAATCATTTTGGTGGAGTAGGATTTAAGTCAGTTAAACTGTAGCAGACTAAAATACTTGCTCATGCATATAATACAGAATCCAGATGTCTTAAGAGAAACATTTCTCATAGAAAACACTGAATCTTCTCAGTATTCTAATCTAAATATATAATGTATAGGGAAATTATCCTCTCCACCTTCATTGTGTATTTAGGGATCATGTTAGACACTTTATTTGGGGGGGGGGGGGTCTGTCTTCCAGAATCCAAATTAATTTTGTTCAGGTCTTGCATCACAGATACTATCAGTAGGCACAAAATCACATTAAAGGAACTGCAGTCCTTTATTGGTCACTTCAACTTTGCATGCAAAGTTATGTCTCCAAGTAGGTCATTTTGTGCTCATTTGTCCAGGGCTCTAGCTGTGGCCTAGGGCCCCCATCATTGGATCAAGGTTTTGCAAAAGATGCGGAAAGGCCTATGAGTGTGGCTATGCTTTCTGGAGACATTCAGTGGGGTTTTAGTATGGCAAGATAAGTTAAGAGTGTTGATCAGAATTGCAAGCTGGTGATCAGGACATAAATAAATTAATCTGAACAAACATTATTTTTCCTAACAGTTGTTGAAAGTAACTTTACAAAAGACTTGAAACAAAACAGGCATATTAAAAAAACTTTAAAAAGTATTTATTAGTTAAAGTTTGTGAATTATACCAAACAAACTTGTTTTTAAGAAGACTGGCCTTTCTTTTCACATAGTGGTGAATAACATTATGTGGTTATCCCTTGTTTTATTTTGTAACAGTACCTACTTGATTTAACAATACTCAAAATTTTATTAAGACGTGTTTTTTATTATTAGAAAAATATTCAAGGTACCACAAGAACAATGAAATTATAAACTGAAAACACAGGGAAATTATTACATTCTTTGTGTAAAATTTATCTGTTAGTTACTTTAAAAATGATAGGAATGTTTTTGTGAGTTGCGTAAATATGAAAAATTATTTTTGGAAATTTAATCCAGGATAATAGAGTTTTAGGACATAAACAGCTATAAATGCTATAAACATTAACAAAGGCCTTAAAACTGCAACAGCTATACATGCTTTATCACACCTTATATCGAGTGTATATGGTGGATGCCAATTTGCATAACCTGTATAAAAATGGAAGAGATTTTTATTAGTTATATTTTTTGTTCTTGAAATAAACAAACATAAAATATAAAATGGAAGTGAAGTACATACTGGCATTTTCCTGATCACGTTGTGGATTTCCTAGTAAAATTAAAAAGAAATAGCTATAACAAATGAAGTCAAGGGTTTTTTTAAATCTACTTTTAAAGCACATCATGAAAAGAATGAGTATTTCTATTACATTCTAGAATCCATAATATATAATGAGATGGAAAGTTAAAGCTACCTCATCCTCAGTCTCTTAGGATTTCAAAAGGCTATTAATAACAAACTTTAGTAATAAAATTAGCCAATGTAATTGTCTGAAACCTTTTGGTTTTTTGTAGCATCAGTCTGCTAGGGTTCTTTTCCTTTTTGTTCATATTGACATTTGTATAAGAGAACATCAAGAATGGGTCAAAATACCTGAGGACCAACCCCAGAGATCCCTCCGTTCTGAGGACCAAGATCTATTGGAAATTCCCAGTGTCAAGACCTTGCGTCTAACAGCAACCAGACGCAGAGCCTTTACAGCAGTGGCACCATCACTCTGGAATACTCTGCCACCTGAAGCCCGTGCCTTGTGGGACTTAACAGCTTTCCGCAGGGCTTGTAAGACATACGTGTTTCGACAGGCCTTTGATTTTTGATATTGCTGTTTTAAATTGTGCTAGATTTTAGCCATTCTTGTAAGCCGCTCCGAGCCCCAGGGGAGTGGCGGCATATAAGTTCGAATAATAAATAAATAAATAAATCATCAAGCATTAAATTGAGATAAATTAGTCTGTCTAGAAATCATGTTTCATTACAGAAATCACACTGAACTATGGCCAAAATACATGGGTGCCTTTGTGGACACTGGCAAAGGCTTTCTGGACCTCTGTAGTCACCATTGCTGTGATGTAAATTGACAAGAATAAGAGCCACCCCTTTTCCCCTGTGCCATGTTAACCAATTTTACCCTGCGTTAGCGATCAAAAATCCCTGTGTCATGTGGATACCCAGGAATGACTTCTGGTCAAATTTCTGTTGTCTGTGTTGATGAGCCCTAAGTAACCTATCTTTGTTCAATGCCCTAAATGTGACAGAAACATCACATATGGTATCTACTCTTTAGTTACCAACATAATGGATCTTCTTCTTTCCATGCAGGGAATGCCTGGAAAGATAGGTTTGGGGGTGAGGTATGATTATGACAAAAGTACAACTATGACTGAGTAGCAGTCATGGATTCAAAACAATTACAGATGAGTAAATCTAGGTAACTGTTTTGCATTCAGGATCTATTTTGTAGCTGAAGAAGTTAGATTTGAGAGTACATGCATTTCAATGCTGAAACATGCCATTCTCCATGATTATATTTAATTTACAAAGATATTAATACACTGAGTGAACCAAGGTTGTTTTAACCATTGTAGAGTTATCAGGATTTTATTGTTATTGTGTTTTCTCTCTCTTGTGCTGTTCCCCATCACAAAACTGGGGAACAGTTTTAACCCATTCAATAGTAGTAGTAGTAGTAGTAGTAGTAGTAGTAGTATAATACATGCTGCGGTAGGCTCTCCTCCCCGGACAACTGTCACAAAGCTGCTTGAACTGCTTGATGGCTTGTGAAAATCTGGACCAGAGACCAACCTTTCCACGTTACCTCAAAGTATGGGCACACACTTATGGATCTCTCTTCTATCTTTACTTCCTCACTAGTCACACACATGCACATATATACACTTGTTCATTCGTTCAGTCGTCTCCGACTCTTCGTGACCTCATGGACCAGCCCACGCCAGAGCTCCCTGTCGGCCGTTACCACCCCCAGCTCCCTCAAGGTCAGTCCAGTCACTTCAAGGATGCCATCCATCCATCTTGCCCTTGGTCGGCCCCGCTTCCTTTTGCCTTCCACTTTCCCCAGCATAATTGTCTTCTCTAGGCTTTCCTGTCTCCTCATGATGTGGCCAAAGTACTTCAACTTTGTCTCTAGTATATTTCCCTCCAGTGAGCAGTCGGGCTTTATTTCCTGGAGGATGGACTGGTTGGATCTTCTTGCAATCCAAGGCACTCTCAGAACTTTCCTCCAACACCACAGCTCAAAAGCATCGATCTTCCTTCGCTCAGCCTTCCCTAAGGTCCAGCTCTCACATCCGTAGGTTACTACAGGGAATACCATGGCTTTGACAAGGCGGATCTTTGTTGCCAGTCTGATGTCTCTACTCTACATTAGTAGTATATACACTACTAATTATAAAATGTAGTCTTCAAAATGAATATGAAAGCAGGATTTAAGATTATGAAATAAATTAAGGAGATTGGAACTAGATCTGGATTTCTCATTCAATGAATCTATTCCTCCATGTTTGGGAGAGCAAAATCAACCCTCTATTAAATAAAAGCAAATAAATAAAAACATATTGACATGGAGTTGGAGAGGACTGAAACCTATTTTCGTCCATAGCATCGATGTCCTGTGGTCCAGGGAAGAAATTAGTACTTCTCAAAATATGAATCTGGATTATGGACTAGCTTCCATGGAAACCACATCCTATAAAAAAGGAGATTGGGATTTGTTGCATTTTGTATCATGAGCTGAAACTATTTGATACTGAAACTTAATTCTGTTTCATAATGGGCTTTAGCGCATCACTAAAATTTTGTTCCCGGGAAACACATTCCAGGTACAAGAACAGCCTATGAAAAGTTACTATAATTTTTATCCTATAATGCCCTCCCTATGTTGTCCACTTGATTAACACATGTAGACTTTAACCATTCAGAAGATGACAGGACTAAGAGGAAAACTGAAGGACCAGTGAACAGTATCAGTAAATAAAAAGGTCAAGAAAGGGTGGGGGAAGGGAGTTGAACACAAATGAGCATCATCTGTCAATCTTATCAGTGTGGGAAATGAAGTTCATAACAAAATTTCATGTTAAGATGTTGGTTAGAACTGCTCTATAAGATTGAATCCATAAAGTGACTTTGATAGGATAATTATATACTTAATGTTTGCTTCATTCAGCTATATACTTACTACAGAGGTTATTTTGACATGTGTCTCCTGGTCGGCACTCACTACATGACTTCCCTGCTTTGTAAGGACGGGCTCCTCTATAGTTGCCCCTAAAGAACAAACATTTCAGACAATACTAAGGTATTCCGCAAACAAGAATTAAATTGAAAGTTACAAGCAACTGCTACTATGACAGCAATCTTGGAATTGTATTTTATTAACTTACAAATCATGTACTTTAAAAATATGGTTTTCATTATATTTTGTCCTCATACTCTCGTTATTACAGTGTCTGTAAGTATTCATATCTTATAAGGGGTTGGTTTAACCTCTGGTTTGCTAGTAAAACTGAATTACTGTGTCATGAAATGATGCATGTCTACAAAGTGCGTCACCAACATGAAATGTTTGGAAAGCTCTGGTCTGTTTGAAAATACTTTCCCATAAGAGTTGTCTATAATGTGAAGTCATGTATTTTATCCCACGTCACCATGTTTATTCATTGAGAACATTTCCATGCAGGATCATCTGGCTGCAGAAACTGTTAAATAGAAATGGCACAGCATTTCTAGTCATATGAAAATACTGTCTAATGAACATGTGGAAGATTAATAGCACTTGGACAATGACTGTGAAATGTTTTGCTGAAATACCTAACAGGGTGTGGTACATAACCAAGTGAGGTGTTTTGCAAAGGGGTTGCATCAGCCATTATCCCTTATTGATGACCTATCAGCAGGTAGCTGTAAAAGAGGGATAAAAGGGTCCATCTTTCTCTCTCCTGTGTGATTATCAGCCTATGCTGTATATGACTATTTGATTACTCTGTTTGATTACTCTGTTTGCAATGACAAGATGAAAGTGGATCTGTGAATCCTGTTAGTATATTGTGTAAATATTGCAACAGTGAAGATTAAATCCTCCTGATATTTTGAATGAATCTGTGATTTTAGATAAGGTCAGCTGCTGGCAGTTAGACTCTGATAGACGGCTTAAGCATGTTTATGCTGTGAAAGGACTCTGCCGTGTTTTGCTTTCTTCTGGGATACTTGCTATCCAGCTTGCAGTGGTTCAGTCAGGTCATGATTGGAAAACTATAAATCACTTCACGACTAGCATCCCGCAACAGAAACATCTGCATGCCAATAATCAAAAGTGTCAAAGATTTTGAGTCTTTCAATAATCATGTGTTATCCATCTAATTATGACACTAGAAGATTCTTTCCAGACAAATAACCAAAAAGATCTGGTGTGATCTTTGAGAACGCCATGGCTTTTTTGACATCCAGAAAAACGTAACATTGAGACTAAGCAGATGTTATGATTTGGTAGATAAAACAATGAGATGGCCATGGGTAACAAAGTCTCCCAGGTCTTAGCATGACATTACAGCAGTGACATTTCATAATATTGTGCTGAATATTGCAAAGTTCACCCACATTTCTTCACAAGCAAGATGACTATTTGGTTTCCTTTTTAAAAAGACCTCTCCTTGGTCCAAAATAGCCTGGTGTGTGTGTGTCTATAAACATGACAAAGTATCCCTGGCTTCTCTTAGAGACACAGAGAGACATATTGGCCCAGCCTTTTCTAAACAAGTTATTTAAAAACATTTTAAATTGAAAGGAAGTTACATTCGAGAGGTGAAATCCACCACTGCCTTTCTCGGCTTTACTGTGAATTATACAGCTTTACCTGCACTGTCCATCCTAAAATGCACCGTCTGAATGCATGCCAGATTTTTTACAAGTCAGAAAGAACAGATGTGGAACTGCTCTGTTGTGACTTGCCATTTAACTGTAAGGATGAAATATGGGCACTTCAACACCTTATATCCAGAGGTTGATGGGAAATGCAACTGTTGATGGGAAATGCAATGACCAGGCTTAATTGTTGAAGCCTGGTCAGATTTTGCATACTCAGATGAGGAGGCAGGTGATGCTGGGAGAATTTCAGCAGGCTCAGCAGAATTGTTTTGGAATCTCCCCCTTGCAGTAGTTCCCAGCAGAACGGGAAAGTAATATCAGTTCTCATGATATTACTTTCTCTCAGCATACCAGGAGAGCAGGCTGTGAGTGATGAATATTTGTCCAGGTCAAGACAATTAGAATTGTGAAGAGAAGGCATACAATAAAGAAAGACTCCCTTTTCTTAGACTTTGAGATAAGGAGCAGAGAAGCAGGTGTCATGGGAGGCTTTGGGGCTTTTTAAAGTGGTTCATGCTGCTAAATTCGTTGTGAAAGCAACACTGCATTCAGATGGAGAGCTCTTGGGGTCATTCCACAGTCATGTAACCCAAAATATCAAGGCAGTATAACCCACAACATCTGCTTTGAACTGGAATATCTTATTTCACACTGCTATATATCCCAGTTCAAAGCAGGTAACATAGGATTTTATTCAGTTGTGTAGATGGGGCCTTGGGTTTTTGTGGCCTATGTCTTGGAATTCATGTAATCAAGTTTCTAAACTGTTTCTGCTTTTCGTTCATGTGTTGCCAGGCTGCCCTGCCTTGGATTCATGTTACCTTGTCGTTGGAACTCTTGGTGAATTGCTTTTGGGAACTATCTCTGATTGTATGTTTGGACCTTGGCTTTCATGGAACAAACCTTTTAAACTTTGATACGCTTTTTGAATTTGCTTATTTTTATATGCTCATATTTTAATAAACTTTTACTTATTGGATTACCTGGGCAGTGTGTGGTTTGTGGTGAAAACAGGCTTCAGGGCCCTAGTGCAGCACTCATTCAGTTTAAAACATTTTATTTCCTCTGAGTAACCAAGTTTGAATACAACTTTACATCTTTTTGACTTACACTGGAGCATAATCACACACTAGAATTCCCAAATTCTTTCCCCTTCCAAGCACTTGACGGCAGAAAGCAATAGCACAGCCAACTTTATAAGAATTAGCCCAAACAACCTAGAAAGAAATAGATTTTATTATACATCAAATATAAACGCTCGAATGATTTGTAAAATTAAATTACTCCTAAAGTACTTCTCATTTTAGAGCTTTTATCAAGAATTGAGAATTTTCACTCTGCCAACTGTATGTAGCCTGGCAGATGTGCTAACCCACATCTGGGCAGTTATTTCTGATCTGGATGACAGGGTATTTCAACATTTTTAAATGCAGGGGTGAATTTATAAACAAACCGAAAACCTTCCTGGCTTTTGCCCTGCCTGCTACTGGAAGGATCTTCATCAAGACTTTGGCACAAGGCTAGGACAATTTTGTCAATTGTGTCTTATATATTTCTACTCCATCTTCAGATAAGAAATAATGTAATATAATCTATTGTCCCCCTGAAACAATAAAAAGAGACAGAGATAGGGTCTTGGGGAAGGTAGTGGTAGGATTTTGTTTTTAGTGCAATGGTTCTGAAGGTGTGGTAGGAAAACAAAGCCATCTGGTTGTTTGCAAGTGGAATATGCTACCTCTGTATGTTCTGTCATATTACTCTCTGGAGGATTGAAGCAGAGGGTGGATTGCCACTTGTTGGGAGTGCCCTGATTGTGTATTCCTGCATACCAGAAAGTTGGATGGGATGGTCCCTGTGGTCTCTTCCAACTCTATGATTATATGAATATCATTTTTGCAGACATTGAAATTGTAGTAACAGAGGAGGCTCATGTGAAAAGGCTCTAAGAATCAGTGAGATATCTTTTAATATTGTTCCAATTCACATTTTCATATAAAACTACAGTAACCACATTATAATTATTACAGTGTATTTAACATAAAGATGGTATCAAAGCTTTATAAATAGTTTAATTATCCAAAAACTGCAACAGGTAATAATAGACAACACACCTGCTTTGAGATATAGCTTAAAAAGAATAGTTATAAAATCCTCCTTGTGCTGACAATCCAAATAAACTCAATTTGCCCTTGTATATCTGGCTACACGTTTCCTACTGTAATCATATTGAAATTGGTACTCTCACCTCAGGCTTTCCATTACAGGATGCTGGATGTCTGGGCCTCAATCACTGCTTCCCCAGAGTCAGACAAAGGCACAAAAAGTGGTAACAGTTTGGTCATCAATCCCCTTTGCTTGGAATCTTTTTTTAAAATCTTGTCTTCAAAAATTCTAGATCTTTCCAAATCTTTCTAATTTCCAGGAAGTCCCACTGTGCAAGAGATTCTCTTGTGCTCTCTTTAAAGTTGTTCCCTTACTACTTACAATAACATTGAAAGGGCAGGTTGCCCTGTCCAAAAACTGTTTTCCACAACAAGCCCAGTTTTTCTAAATCCAATTATCACAGGGACAGAAAGTGAAGTGAAATTTTCTGAACAGAGGCATAGACAACTTACTTACTTAGGTGACCCCACGTTGTCCGGGTATGAAAGCCTTCCAAGTGTAGTGTCTTGGTGGTAGATACATAAAGTGACTGTGGAGCCCTATTCTTGATCTGCATGTTCTTCCACGGTGAGGGCATTGGTTTCCAGGTGGAAGGATGTCCTCGTTAGGGTTGGCTTGACACGCCTTTCACTTGGCATGTTTCTCCCTTTTGCCCTCCATTCGTGTCTCTTTGAATTCCGTAAAACTGCTGCCCACAGCTGATCTCCAATTAGAGCGTTCACGGGCCAGGGCTTCCCAGTTCTCAGTGCCTATGCCACAGTTTTTAAGGTTAGCTTTAAGCCCATCTTTAATTTTTTTCCCCTTGTCCATCAACAAGGAAGGAGGAGACTGATCAGGTATCTGGACAGTCCAGCGGAGTTGATGGTGTAAGAGCATCGCTTCAATGCTGGTGGTCTTTGCTTCTTCCAGCATGCTGACATTTGTCCGCCTGTGTTCTCAAGAGATTTTTGGAGGCAACACTGATGGAATCATTCCAGGAGTTGAGTGGGACGTCTGTAGACAGTCCAAGTTTCACAGGCATGTAACAGGATTGGGAGGACAATAGCTTTATAAACAAACATCTTGGAGTCCCAATCCTCAAACACTTTCTGCTTCATTCGGAAAAATGCTGCACTCACAACAGCTCAGGCGATATTGCATTTCAGTGTAAATGTTGACTTTTGTGGAGAGGTGCTGCCAAGGTAGCAGACATGGTCAATGTTTTCTAATGTTACACCATTAAGCTGTGTTTCTGGCATTGCAGAGAGATTGGCTGGTGCTTACTGGAAGATCACTTTGGTTTTCTTGTTGTTCAATGAGAGGCCAAGCTTCTTGTATGCTTCTCATATGTTTAGTGGCTTGTAGGTCTTATTTTGAATGTGCACAGACTACATTATCATCAGCATACTGGAGTTCTATAACAGATGCTGTTGTGACCTTGGTTTTGGCTTTCAGTCTGCTGTGGTTAAACAGCTTGTCATCTGTCCGATACATGATTTCCACTCCGGTGGGAGGCTTCCCATCAACAAGATGAAGTATCATAGTGATGAAGATGGAAAATAAGGTTGGGGTAATAAAACATCCCTGTTTGACACCTGATTCCACTTTAAATGGGTCACTTTGGGAGCCGCTGCTGTCCAAGACTATTACAATCATGTAATCATGGAGAAACTGCAGGATGTTCACAAATTTGTTAGGGCATCCAATTTTTGGAGGTAGTCCAGAGAGAACTGCAATTCACTCACTGCATCGAATGCCTTTGCAAGGTCAATGAATGCCATGTACAGAGGTTGATTTTGTTCCCTGCATTTTTCTTGGAGTTGTCATGCAGTGAAGATCATGTACATTGTTCCTTTGGAGGGGCAGAAGCCGTTCTGGGATTCTGCGAGTGTGTTGCACTCCAAGGCTGGGAACCACCTCTATACTTAACACACACTCCAGTTCAAGGTAAAATAGTAAAGCAGTTTATTGAAGAATATATATGAAAAGCAATTCAGCAAAATATTATAAGAAACCAAAGTCCGAAATATCAGGAATAATCCACAAAAATCAAAGTACAGGAGTAGCATCAAAAACCAGGAATACAAAAGTAGAATAAATCCAAAACACAAGATTCAGGAACAGTCTCAAAACATGGAATCATGAGACATGAACAAAAGGAAACATGGAACATGGTACTAGAAATTCCTTGACAATAGATCTATACTACAAACCCAGTGCTGCCCTGACTGTTGGACCCATCTGCTGGGCTAGCTGATATAGCAAGAAAGTCATGCCTTCTCCCCTGGGAAACGGATAAAGACTTTGCTAAAAGGTGTTTTGACCTTCGTAAACACTTCTGAGAATTCCTATGTTGACAGAACGTAAATCTCCCATTTCACTGCTCATCAGTCTGTCCACCTGGACTTTCATTTTCATCCTCTGAGCTCAGATCTGTTTGTGACCTTGCTTCCCTAGTGAACCGCCTTTCAGAAACGTGGCCTTTGGACACAGACCACTCATTTTCTGGGCTTAAAATCTCTTGTTGGCTCTCCTGCTGACTTGCAGACCCAGAATCCCAAGTGTCATCAGAATGACTAACAGGCCCAGAATCCCCAGAAGGATCATGTGCAGGCACAATCAAAGGCTGAACTACAACATAAGTTGTTTTCTGAGACAGGTAGCAGGCGGTTTGGATTCTTGCGAGGATTTTCCCAGCTGAGGTTGAAAGGGAGATATCTTGATAGTTTCCAGAGTCATCACCCTTTTTTTGAAAAGGGTGATGATGGTGGTGGCATCCTTGAAGTCTGCTGGGATGTTCTCAGTTACCCACACTTTTTCAATGAGCTGGTGGAGTTGTTGTGTTAGCTCCACCCTCTTTAAGGACTTCAGCAGGGATCCCATTAAGTCAGTTGGCTTTGTTATTTTTTGTTGGCTGATGGCATTGCTGACTTCCTCTAAACTAGGCAGTGCTGCAAGCTCTTCCCTGGTTTGTTTTTGCAGAATTTGAGAGGGAACCTCTTTGGTCATGTTGGAGCTGCGATTCAAGAGGTTGTGGTAGTGCTCTTTCCAAAGTAGTGCAATTGAGTTTTGTCCTTCAGAAGTTTGGTTCCATCTGATGAGCGTAGAGCAGGGGTCCTCAAACTAAGGCCCGAGGGACGGATACGGCTCTCCAAGGTCATTTACCTGGCCTTCGCTCAGGGTCAACCTATGCCTGAAACGACTTGAAAGCACACAAAACAACAACAGTCCTATCTTATCAGCCAAAAGCAGACCCACACTTGCCATTTAAATACGAATAAGTTTATATTTGTTAAAATCGTTCTTCATTTTAATTATTGTATTATTTTTAAGTGTTTTTGCACGACAAATAAGATATGTGCAGTGCATAGGAATTCTTTCATTTTCCCCCCAAATTATTTTCTTATCAATTAACTGTTGGATTTCTGTCATTTTCATCAAACCAGTTTTGATGTTTCTTACTTTGGTATCCAATGGTTTCTTCGCAGGCTGTGATGATGGAGGTCTTCAGTTCCAATGATTTTCAACATTTTCAGGGTGTTCAATGGGTAGATGATCCTTTAGAGTTGTCTGGAGAAGGTTCTTCATTTGGAGGGTTCTTGAAGGGCCTGGCTGTTCATTTTTCATCTTGTCTTTCTTCTTTGGAGTCTGCATGTGGTAGCGATCTTGATGGCCATCGTGGAGTGGATTAGCCTGTGGTCTGTCCAGCAGTCATCAGTGCCTGTCATGGCTCTTGTGAGAACCACAACACAGCGGTCTCTGGCACGTGTTGTTACATAGTCTAAGAGGTGCAAATGCCTTGACCGGTGGGTGCTTCCATGATGTCTTGAGCTTGTTTTCTGGCAGAAGAGCGTGTTGTAGTTGACAAGGTTCTGTTCCGCACATTTGGTAAGAAGCAGGGTGCCATTCGAGCTGCTGTTTCCAACCCTGTCTTTTCCTATGGTCCCTGGTCATACAACTAAGTGTCATCTGACTCTTGCGTTAAAATCCCCAAGGAGGATGATTTTGTACTCCTTAGGTATCTCAGATAGGATGGTATCCAGCTGACAGTAAAAAATTTCCTTCATGTCTTCATCAGCATCTAGTGTTGGTGCGTGGGCAGTTATGATGGTTGTCTTTTGGTTTTTGGCAGGGTTGAAAGTCGTTTGTTAATGCTAATGGGTGCTTCAGACAGATACTTCACCAGGTCATTTCTGATAGCAAAGCCAACTCTGTGTATTCTTCGTTCTTCTTCAGGCAGTCCCTTCCAGACGAAGGTGTAGTCTCCTTTTTCTTCCTTCAGCTGTCCCTCTCCTGCTCTCCTGGAGTACTGCTATTTTGATATTAAAACGTCCCAGCTCCCTTGCAATAGCAGTCCTGCGTTCGGGGTGCTGACAGCGCAGGATGGTGACCCCTCTGGATGCTGCAGTCCAGTCAGGGATAAGAGAAACAAACTATGTTTAGGGCACCTTTTCTAGCCCCATCCCTGTGTGGAGTGAACAGAGTGGGTCCTTACAAGAGCTGCTTAGTCATTGATACAGATGTGGGACTACTCAACAGCCTTGGACCTTGAGGTAGAATGACTGAATCCATATCCACCACCCACGTGTCAATCACACTAGGAGCTTCCAGATTTCACAGTCCTGCCCGTCACCACTAACTGATTGCCATAGGACTTTTATTGGTTTGGTTTTATTTTTCTTGGAAGACACATGTGCATGAGTTTGTTTTTTTTGATGTGTTAATGTCAGTGCACAGCTGATCAACACACAGTCTTCACAGAGTGAGGGTCCCAACCAGTGGCATGGTTAACACGACAATGGTGGCTTATCAATCTGTTGCACCCGTCTTATGCCTTAACAGCAGTTGTAGTAACATGTACCATGATCTGATCTTGAGAGGAACGGTGAACCAAAGCGACTCCATCTTGTTGGTCTATCATTACAGGGTGTCAGAGAACACATATTCTATTGCAGCCTGCCTCTCTCACAAGGGAAGCAAGTGTTACACAGCTTACATAGGAAATGGCTGTGGTCGGCCAGTTACTGAAAGATGTATGCAATATCACCATATATGGGACACAACCTCAGAGTTGTTTATTACGACGTAAATCTTGTGGTGAGCTATTCCGGGGGTTTTATGCTAAAGGAAATGTTTGCTTAATGCTATGCCAAATAAGGGGAAAGGAGAACTTTGAAAGCTGTCAACAAGTAGGGTATATATGTCGGATGTTCGTCCCAGGCCGGGACAGACAATTTTGTACCGGCATACTGTGTGTTATGCTGTTTGTCCGTCTTCCTATTGCGCAATACGAATAAACCGCGTTTTACCCTAACTCATTTGGACTTTGCCTCATCCAAAGTGGCTCAGCGAAGGACCCGGTTGTTGGTAAGATTTGGGAATACCAGCGAGATTCCCCCAACATTTCTGGTTCCCTGACCAGGAAATCCTTAGCTGGGAATCCGCTGTGATCTTGCGGAGTGGGTTCTGGAAGCCCAGAGGCCCGTTCTCCCTCCTTGGGGCGCTGCGACCAATTCACGCTGAGAGGTGCTGCATATAAATTGAACCAGCAGTTTCGTTTCGCTAGCGTCCGGAGGGGGGATAGCGTATCCTCTGTCAAACTAGGAAATTAGAGGCAACTGCAGCCGGGGCTGGGTGACGCCCTGGGAAAAGAGGCTGCGAAAAATTGAAAGCATCCTCTTGGGAGTTTGGCGGCCACCGCGGGAACTTGGACAAAATCTTAATCAGGCAAGTAGGATTTTCTTGGTATACATTTATAGGGCCCTGAACAACACTTGTGAGAGAAGTACAGGGTTGGTTCCGAAAATGTGTACCTTGGCTAAGGGTCACAGGAGCCCAGGGTTCCGTCTGGGACCTTTGGAGTGGATGAGGGAAAGTCACAAATCCCCAAAGGTGGAGGTAGAGCTCTGGGTGGTTCATGGGGGTACCCCAACATCGGGCCAATAGGACCAGACTTGTGAGGGTGTCTCGAGAACAAGCCAGGAAGGTTATTGGTCGGGCTCTGGTTCCATGCCAAAGACCTCCCTCCCATAATTGGTAGAGATCTCTAGGATAAGATAAACCAGAAGTGTGTGTGGAAGCGCGCGTTGAATGTTTGTTTACGTTACTTATTGTTTGTCTTTGTGTGGCATGCCAGGAATTTGACACTGTTGCTAAGCGATGGGGTCAAAGGGAATAGATCTAGAAAATGTGAGACTGCTGCAAGTGGCATTGAGAGTGTGTTCCGGGAGCCAGAGGGGGAGGAAACCTAGAGGGAAAAACAACCCCTTTCTGATTCAGGGAGTCTGGTTGATGAGCCCCAGCTGTGCTGTGTCTATACTCTAGAGGCAGAGTGGTTGCAGGTAGAGACTGGATTATGCCCTGATAAATGGCCCCCCCCAACCAGTCCCCGGAACAGATGCAGGAAGAGAACGCCAATTTGTAGTGGGGCCTCTGTACCAACAGGAAGGTAGTGCCCAGCCACATGGTCTTACCTGGAGAGAATTGAAGCAGTTGTTAGAGGTGTTGTTAACAGCGGAAGAAAGGGTGCATTTGGCACTGTTGAGAGGACAGGAGGTTATAGGGAAGGATCCCCACAGGGATCCTAAGGAGGAGGAACAAAGAGATTTCCTCAGGATTTACCAATTGTTGCTTCTTAGAAAAATCTACGAGGTAAAGCAGAAGAAAGATGAGAGCCCAGCGGCTTTTCTGGAGAGATTGAGGGAAGCATTCATAAGACACTCCCCTTATGATACAGAAGATCAGGAAGCAAACGAGGAAAGAAGGGAGGTGTTGAAGAATATTTTTGTCAACCAGTTTGCCCGTGATATTTGGAGAAAGATTCAGAAAAGCCCCGGAGTGGCACAAATGCCATTGGAAAGGATTATGGAGTTGGCTGATCAGGTTTATATGTCTCGTGAGGAGAAGCGGGCCAAAGGAGAGGAGGCTAAGGTGACTCAAAGAGCAAAGGTAGTGGCAGTGGCGTTATCAAGGTAACCAGGGAGCCGACCCCGGCGGGCCAAAATAGAAGGGAAAAGGACAAGGCAAGGTGAGAAGGGCCCAGGGGTGCGGCAGGGTGCCATTGGGACCGAATGAATGTGCAAGGTGTCATCAGGAGGGGCACTGGAAGAGGGGATGTAGAGTTAACGTTGCAGGTGGATGAGAGAAAGAGAAGATTTGGGAATACCAGCGAAATTCCCAACATTTTGCCATTGAGGTATTTGGATTGTGTTCGGTCTGGAACCTCCACTGCAACCCCTCCTGGGAGTACATGACTCATAATTACACCCGAAGGTTCATTGGATTACACAAGCCTCCTCAGCACAAGGTGACAATCCATTGAGGGGGACATAGACAACAAAACAAACATCACAGGGGTATTAGCCCTTCTCTATGTTATCAAAAACACCAACTTCGCAACTTTAATTTTTTCCCAAAAGGTACTGTTCCATTATCTGGGCAGAGGCCACGAGGGGGCACTAGACAGAGAATAGTCCATTTTATGGTGGGGGAGGGGGGAGGAGGAAGGGGGTTGAGGGAGTTAAACCATTTCCCCCTGTTTTCCTGTTATGCCTCCACCCATGTAGCCATAATCAAAATAGCCATTGTTTATGATATGGGAAAGTGTGTGTGTGTGTGTGTGGGGGGGGGGGGATAACCAGAGATAATCGGGAAAATGGCTTTCATCCCTCAACTACCCCCTTCCAAACTGGACTATCCTTCTCTGTCTAGGCCCCCTTTAGGGAGTCCACATGGAACAGTCCCCCCCCCCCCCACACACATATTGATATTATGCCTCAAAATTGGTAAGGAAGGACAAAACTCACCTGAGTATAATGACCACACACACGTGTACATTTCAGAGTATTGAAATCATAGTATTTTATCTCTGAGTGAAAGGCTCCAATGGCACCAGCAATATTAAATGGTTTTTTGCTGGCACCTCCCAGCCACAGATTTTCTCCAAAAGGTCTAAATTTAGGATTTGGGTGGACTTTTCTGTTTGGATTGTGACCCCAGATGCATTTCTGTGCATAAGCTTTAGCGATTCTAGCTAAAGCTACATCAAATGTCTGCAAATAAATAAATAAATAACATTTAGCAAATGTTCTACCTCTAGTAAAAGCTCTACTATACTTTAATCCACTCATGTTAAAATATAACATTTCTATTTGGATACCTTTTATATCAAGCTTTAACAAACAAGAACATGTTATATTTAATTCTTGAAGTCTAAATTACTATTAGGGGAGCATTTTGCCTCTGGGCCTAATTCAGCCTGGCAAAAGGTTTGGACAAGGTATTCCAAAATGTTGGGTCTTCACTCCTCCTGAGATAAGTCAAAGGTAAAGGTACCTTCTGTCTTATTCTCAGCTAGTGCTATGATGTTTTGGTCTTCAACATATTCTCTGCATTTCAGCCAAGAATCTATCTATGTTAGATATTTTTAGATTCCACCTTTCCAGTTTTATTTCACTTTTTTTCCTGACCCAGGACGCAAAAGAGCTCACAAAGGACACTAAAGACTAATTTGATACAAAAGCTAAGCAAACATTTCTCATAAAAACATATTGCAAGTTAAAAGATATATTAAAACAAAATAAAATATAAAAACACAATACACCACAATAAAAGGATCCTTCTGCCACAGCCATTTAAAAGTCAAAGGCATTCCTAAATAAGGTTGCTTGGTAACAGAAAGAAGAGTACTTGAAGGATCAATTGAGCCACTTGTGGATGGGAAGTCTAGAATTGGGGAGCAGTCACTGAGGGCCCTTCCACGCAGCATATAACCCAGAATAGCAAGAAAGAAAATCCCACAATATCTGCTTTGAACTAGGTTATCTGAGTCCACACTGCCATATATTCCAGTTCAAAGCAGAAAATGTTGGATTTCATTCAGCTCACCAAACACACTAGTGAAGATCACAGTTCAGAGAAAGCCTTTGTGACATTATTGGGTGTTTATACTGCATCTACGAATGGAATATTGAGGACTGAAATCTTTCTCTATAGTGCATGAGATTTCAGGAAATAGGAAAACACAAAACAAACTTCTCAATTTTCCAGGTACCTATCATTTTGCCCAGTGCTTTTTAATTCAGAGGGAAGCTTTTAGATCGCGGTAAACACATAATCTGTTTTAATTCCTCCATTTTGAATGTCATTTAATTTGTAAGGCCCAGGCAACTACTACTACTAGACTTGTATTCCAGGGCATATGGAGTCCTCAGATAGATCACTCTTGTTAGCAACATATTGTTGTATTTGCCTGTCTGGTTCATAGCATACTCAAGTTGATGATCCCATGCCAATAGGGTATTATTAATTTACTTATGTATTGAACTATATTATTATTTTACTGAAATAAAAACACAGTATGTCACAGCATACAAGATATATATGCTGGATTTTGTATCACAAATCACAAGTCAAACAATTCCCATGCATCTACGACTATGTGATGTATTTTTGAATGATGCATGCAGATCTAAGTAAGGTGGCCTTTTGCAGTTGACAGATCGTGATTTTGTCAATGTTTATTGTTTCCAAATGCTGGCTGAGACCTTTTGGCATGGCACCCAGTGTGCTGATTACCACTGGGACCACCTGTACTGGTTTATGCCAGAGCCTTTGCGGTTCAGTTTTGAGGTTCTGATAACTGCTGAGTTTTTCCTGTTGTTTTTCCTTAATGCAACTTTCACCTGATATGGCGACATCAATAATCCAAACTTTTTTCTTTTCCAGTCGTGATGTCTGGTGTATTGTGTTCCAAGACTTTGTCTGTCTGGATTTGAAAGTTCCACTGTATTTTTGCATATTCATTTTCCACTACCTTTGCAAGTTTATGATTCCACCAGTTCTTTACTACTGGCAGGTGATACTTGTGGCATAAGTTCCAATGAAACATTTGGGCCACAGAGTTGTGCCTGTTTGTAGTCTGTGCGATTTTCTTGCAGCAGCTGAGGATATGATCAATGGTTTCATCAGCTTCCTTGCAGTCTGCATTTTGGGTCATCAGCTGATTTTTCAATCCTGGCCTTAATTACGTTTGTTCTGATGGCTTGCTCCTGGGCTTCAAGAATCATGCCCTCTGTCTCCTTCTTCAGTGTTCCATTCATGAGCCATAACCAGGTCTTCTCCTTATCAACTTTTCCTTCAATTTTGTCAAGGAACTTCCCATGCAATACTTTGTTGTACCAGCTGTCAGCTCTGGTTTATAGTGCAGTTTTCTTATATTGATTCTTTGTCTGCTGTGCTTTGAGAAGTTTCTGATTACTGTCTTCAATTAAAGCAGGTTCTTGGCTTTCCTTTACATAGTCTGCCAGGGCATGTTTTTCTTCTTCGAATGCTTGTTTTACTTGTAAAAGTCCTCTGCCACCAGACCTTCTAGGCAGATAGAGCCTTTCAACATCAATGTGAGGATGTAGTGAATTATGAATGGTCATGAGTTTTGTTTTTCTGTCCGAATTGTCCAGTTCTGCCTGCATCCAGTTTATGATGCCAGCAGTATATCTTATGAAAGGTATGGCCCAGGTGTGGCCTTGATGATATTGCCTCCGCGGACCTTGCTTTTGAGAATATATTTCTGCTACTGTGATTGTTCTATGATTATGATCATAATCATTATTATATTATGTTTATTTATACCCCACTTTATCTCCCCAAAGGGGCCTGGCATAAAAACATTGGTATCCAATTTAAAATATACAAGTATCCAAACATTTAAACAGAATTAAACACAACCAATTTAAAAATTCAGTTAAAACCCATTAAACATATTCAAAGTTAAAAACCACAGCCCCCATGACCAGCTCTCAAGCACCTTCATCTTTAAAAGCCTGTCTGAATAAAAAGGTTTTAGCCTGCCACTGAAAGGACAGCAGGAAGGGGGGCATTCTAGTTTCACTGGACAGGGAGTTCCAGAGTTGAGGGACAGCCACCAAGAAGGAAGGCTGTCTCTTGTTCCCACCAACCGAGCTTAAGATGGAGGTGTAACCGAGAGAAGGGCCTCTTCTGAATATCTCAGGGCATGGCCAGGTTTGTACAAGGGGATTCAGTCAGCCAAATAGCCTGGACCTGATATTTTTTTTAATTTTTAAATTAATATTTGCTCTTTTTTGCAGGATCTCAGGGCAGTTTTAAGTAAAACACCATATACATTTCAATTTTTTTTTGTCGCATCAGGAGCGACCTGAGAAACTGCAAGTCACTTCTGGTGTGAAAGAATTGGCCGTCTGTAAAGACGTTGCCCAGGGGACACCCAGATGATTTGATGTTTTATCATCCTTGTTGGAGGCTTCTCTCATGTCTCCGTATGAGGAGCTGGAGCTGATAGAGGAAGCTTATCTGCCTCTCCCCGGATTCGAACCTGCAACCTGTCGGTCTTCAGTTCTGCTGGCACAGGGCTTTAACCCACTGCGCCACCATTTTAAATCAATTTCATATATAAAAATGAAATCTGAACAGGATCTGGACCAGACTTGGCATGAATACTCAATATGCCTAAATGTTAATACTGGTGGAGTTTGGGGAAAATAGACCTTGGCATTTGGGAGTTGTAGTTGCTGAGATTTATAGTTCACCTACTATCAAAGATCATTCTGAACTCCATCAACAAGAGAATTGAGCCAAACTTCCCACACAGAACCCCCATGACCAATAGAAAATACTGTGTTTTCTGATGGGCTTTGGTGACCCCTCTGACACCCCCTCACATGCCCCCCCCAGGTTGAAAAAAACTGATCTAGTGCCTCACCAAACTACAAATTCCAGGACTCCATAGGATGTTACCATGGCAGTTTGGGTAGAACCAAAGGACTCTAACAGGATAGTTTGAAATGGCCTCAAGCGATATACTTTTGAATGTGACAGTGACACCATACGTGTAACTTCCTGCATCTATACTATACTATAGAATGAATGCAGTTTGGTATCACTTTAACTGTGGTGGCTCATGCCACAGAACCCTGGGAGTTGTAGTCTTGCAAGGTGTTTGACCCTCCCTGCCCAATGGTGGTGGCACTTCCCCTGACTAAAACTCCCCAGGACACACCAGCATCGAGCTACGGATATTAAAGCAGTGTCAGTGCTTTAATCCTGTGGTGAATAGACGCGCCCTCTGTTGTGAGAGGCTTTTTCTTCCGCTCCTAATGGCGACTTTCATTTTCCCGCCATTTTCCCCGCCCTCTTTCCCAGGACACACACACCATGTACAGCATGTTGGCAGCGCTGGGATTGACTTCGCTCCGGTATTTGTTGTGGGCGTCGACATACTGCTTGATAAAGGTCTTGTTGTTGATGTCGGGGTAAGGGGCGAACTTCTGGCTCGCTCCCAAGGTGACAACGGCGGCGGTGAAAAGCCCCAGCAGAAGGCAGCGCCTCGACTTCGCCATCGCAGCAGCAGCACTTCCCTAAAAGAAACTAGAGGGGCTGCGCGCGCAACCAACGGCTTCCCTCCAACGGCCGCGAGGCTGAATCACTCCTAAATCCAAAAGAGGGCCAAACCCTTAATACATCCCCTCCCCCCACCAATAAGGGAATGGATTCTTCCGCCTCGCTAAAAACTCCCTCACTAGCAGGTGGACTCTTCCACTCCGCTTGCTATATAGGTTGCATCCTAGCGTATCATAGAATCAAAGAGTTGGAAGAGACCTCATGGGCCATCCAGTCCAACCCCCTGCCAAGAAGCAGGAATATTGCATTCAAATCACACCTGACAGATGGCCATCCAGCCTCTGTTTAAAAGCTTCCAAAGAAGGAGCCTCCACCACACTCCGGGGCAGAGAGTTCCACTGCTGAACGGCTCTCACAGTCAGGAAGTTCTTCCTTGTGTTCAGATGGAATCTCCTCTCTTGTAGTTTGAAGCCATTGTTCCGCGTCCTAGTCTCCAAGGAAGCAGAAAACAGCTTGCTCCCTCCTCCCTGTGGCTTCCTCTCACATATTTATACATGGCTATCATATCTCCTCTCAGCCTTCTCTTCTTCAGGCTAAACATGCCCAGCTCCTTAAGCCGCTCCTCATAGGGCTTGTTCTCCAGACCCTTGATCATTTTAGTCGCCCTCCTCTGGACACATTCCAGCTTGTCAATATCTCTCTTGAATTGTGGTGCCCAGAATTGGACACAATATTCCAGGTGTGGTCTAACCAAAGCAGAATAGAGGGGTAGCATGACTTCCCTAGATCTAGACACTATGCTCCTATTGATGCAGGCCAAAATCCCATTGGCTTTTTTTGCCGCCACATCACATTGTTGGCTCATGTTTAGCTTGTTGTCCACGAGGACTCATCTTTTTCACACGTCTGCTCTCGAGCCAGGCATTGTCCCCCATTTTGTATCTTTGCATTTCATTTTTCCTGTCAAACTGGAGTATCTTGCATTTGTCACTGTTGAACTTCATTTTGTTAGTTTTGGCCCATCTCTCTAATCTGTCAAGATCGTTTTGAATTCTGCTCCTGGGTATTCGGTTTGTACATTTATAAACTGGTGTTGCTGGTGTTTCGAAGGAGGGTTAAGACGTGGCTCTATGAGCAGGCATTCGGTTAGCTATGCAGTAACAACCACCCCAATAATGACGGCATTGAACAAGGATTGAATTAAGGACTATGAGAACGGGATCTGATTCTAAGTAGGCGTTGATGATTATGTGTATTATTTGTCGATGTACGTCTTATATATTGTTCACTGTTTATTTTTACTGTAAACCGCATTGAGTCGCCGCTCCAGGCTGATAAATGCGGTATACAAATGGAGTAAATAAATAAATAAATAAATAAATTTAGATAGCTGGCTTGAAAGATTAGATAGGTAGATTTAGTGTATTTATAATACAACTTCATTAACCCAGGCTCTCTCTCATGGAAGTTAGGATGTGGAATGAATGCAGTCCTGTATTTAACTATCCTAGCTTAATACCATTGATTCATGGCAGTTTTGCAAGAGTCTTCTCTGCTAGAGTGTTGGTGTCTCACCCAAACCACAACTCCCAGGATGCCAGAGCATGGAGGCATCGCCATTCCAGTGATGCCAAACTGCTTTCATTCTACAATGCAGATGCCTCCTAAGATGTTGCAGCTGTGTCCAATCCAGGGACTGAATATATAACAATATAATGAATTTTGTATTGTCGAAGGCATCAGAAGAGCTGCAAGACCGAGAACAAGCCATGAGAGTAAAGATAAAGATCCACCCAGAGGAAAAGTGTTCTTACCATACATCAAGGGAACCACTGACCGCATAGGGAAGCTGATGAGGAAACACAACATACAAACTATCTATAAAATCCTATACGGCTCCGGTCCACAGTACCTGTCCGAACGTATCTCCTTCTACGTCCCACCTCGGAGCTTAAGATCGTCTGGGGAGGCCCTGCTCTCGGCCCCGCCTTTGTCTCAAACACGCTTGGCGGGAACGAGGGACAGGGCCTCCTTAGTGGTGGCCCCCCACCTGTGGAATTTGCTCCCCGGGGAAATTAGGTCATTGTCATCCCTCCTCACCTTTAGAAAAAAGGTTAAAACGTGGCTGTGGGACCAGGCCTTCGGGCAATCAGGTTAAAGGACAATTGATAATGCTTGACTATGGCATGGAAGAGGATTTGGATAAGTTAAGCGGAGTATTCATTAGTAGATGGCTAGCTAAACAGCCACCAGACGGGCAATAGCTAATCAGAGTGTAAGTATACTGTTTTAATCTTTATTTATTAATGTTCATGTTAATTGTTATATTTGTTATTCTGTATTCTGTATTTTATGATGCGGCATTAAATTATTGCCAATTGTAAGCCGCCCTGAGGCCCCTAGGGGTTGAGAAGGGCGGGGTAGAAATGTTCGAAATAAATAAATAAATAAAATACAGACCCACCAAGAAAATCCAACAAATGCTATGTTCAGCCAAGAACAAGAGGGATCTTCTCACTTCTGCAGGAGTCTACCATGTACCATGAAGCTGTGGACAAGTCTACATTTGTTGTTCATTCGTTCAGTCACCTCCGACTCTTCGTGACCTCATGGACCAGTCCACGCCAGAGCTCCCTGTTGGCCGTCACCACCCCCAGCTCCTTCAAGGTCAGTCCAGTCACTTCAAGGATGCCATCCATCCATCTTGTCCTTGGTCAGCCCCTCTTCCTTTTGCCTTCCACTTTCCCCAGCATAATTGTCTTCTCTAGGCTTTCCTGTCTCCTCATGATGTGGCCAAAGTACTTCAACTTTGTCTTCTAGTATCCTTCCCTCCAATGAGCATTCGGGCTTTATTTCCTGGAGGATGGACTGGTTGGATCTTCTCGCAGTCCAAGGCACACTCAGCACTTTCCTCCAGCACCACAGCTCAAAAGCATCAATCTTCCTTCGCTCAAGTCTACAAGTCTACATAGGGACCACCAAACACAGCATTGCCCAAACACGAATCAACATGAATGCCCTGCAGACTACTTCAAACAGAGAAATCAGCCATAGCAGAGCACCTGATGTACCAACCTGGGCACAGCATATTATTTGAGAACACAGAAATGCTGGACCACTCTCACAACCACCATGTCAGACTACACAGAGAAGCCATTGAAATCCACAAGCATGTGGACAATTTCAGCAGAAAGGAGGAAACCATGAAAATGAACAAAATCTGGCTACCAGCATTAAAAAAAAACTCTAAAATTACAACAGCAAAACAACAGAGAGGAAACAATCAAGGACATTTAATCACCTCTCAACAAAAGATTGCCCCAGGCACTGCCAGGCCATCAAATGCTAATCAAAGTGGTCAGTTGAAACATTCACACCTAGCTCCAACAGACAAGAGTTCTCTGTCCCTCCCTGGTCATTCCACAGATATATAAACCCATTTTCCTAGTTCCAACAGACCTCACTACCTCTGAGGATGCTGGCCATAGATGCAGGCGAAACGTCGGAGAGAATGCCTCTAGAACATGGCCATAAAGCCTGGAAAAAACCTACAACAACCCAATAATGAATTTTATTTGTTACCTGCCTCTCTCCCCACGGGTGCTGCATTTTCAACAGTGTTATACACAAGTTGAATACCCCTTATCTGACTCACTTAGGATCAAGAGTTCTGTATTTTAGATTTCTTTTTCCAGATTTTGGAATACTTGAATATACATAGAATACAGCAGAATTCCAGACATGAAACAAGGCCAGCTAACTCCTCTCAAAAAAGGATTCCCCCAGACAGGAAGCAACCAGGCTTTGAAGCTGCAAGGCCATTCAATACTAATCAAGGGGGCCAACATTCACACCTGCTGCAAACAGACAAGACTATTATCATTTTGCTCAACTTGTGAGCTCGGATGTGCTTGGTTACTACTATAACAATGGTTGGGCAAGGCAGAGAGGCAAAGGAATAGTAAAGGGCTGATTCAGAAATGCACTTTTTCAAACTGAAACTCTTAAAACCCCATCAGGCAGCATCCCTTGCTGGCTGGGGAATTCTGGGATCTGTCATCCTTTTAAATATTTTCCCAACTCTTGGAAGGAGGCATGTGAGACTACAGTTATCAAGTATGAAATAAATTGCAGCTATCAAGTATGAAATAAATTGCAAAAGCATTTATTAGTTACAGCCTGTGAACTATGACAAACTTGTTTTGAAGATGATGAACTGTCTCTCCTGCCACATAATCATTAACAATGTTAAATAGTAACAACTTGTTTTATTTTGTAATAGTATCTACTTCACTTAAAAATACTAAACATTTTCTTAATGTAGGACATGCCTTTTTATTACAAGAGAGAAGTTTAAGTATCATAAGAACAATGAAACGATATCAATTTACTCTGAAAAAACAGAAATCATAGGAATTTTTTTTATAAGCTACATGAACAGGAAAGATTTTTTTCAAAATTTTATCCAGGATAATAGAGTTTTAAGAAATAAACAGCTACAAATGCTATAAACATTAACGAAGGCCTTAAAACCTTTTGATGGTGGATACCAGTTTGCATAGCCTGTATTAAAATGGAAGACAATTTTATTAGATATAAATTTTATTTTTGAAATAAACAAACATAAAATATAAAATGGAATAGAAGTACATACTGGTATTTTCCTGATCACGTTGTAGATTTCCTAGTAAAAATGAAAAATAACTATAATAAATGAAGCAAAGCTTTGCAAGTATTAAATTCTACTTTTAAGGCAAAACATGACAAAGAATGAGGGGGCATTTCTATTAAATTCTAGGATCCGTAATATATAATGGGATGGAAAGTTAAAGTTACCTCATTCTCCTCAGTCTCTTAGGATTTCAAATGGGTATGAATAACAAAATTGGGTAATTAAATTAGTTATTCTAATTGTCTAAAACTCTTATTTTTTTGTATCATCTGGTTGCCGAGGTTTTTGAGGGTGGGTGGGGAGCTTCCCTCTTATCGAAGGAGACAAGGGAGACCTAAATTGGAGACGGCGGCCTTAGAATTACAGAGGCCAATCAAAAATGTAACATCTGAGTCTGTTATACAATCTTTAGACATTTCATGCCAGTCTCAGCATCTTCTGCGAACGACCAATTTGGTGGTGAAAGTCTCAGACTCTTTGATGAACAGAGGCAGATGGACTTCGGGAAGAGCAGTCCAGATATCCCTGGCTCAAATCCTGCATAAAAGCCAGGTGGAAGTCAAACTTAAGTCCATAGATTGGTTACACAGGGACTAACAGTCACAAGACCGCTCTACATGTCTGCTTATCACATCTGAAGACAATATGTTAGTAGAGGAGCTGTTTGCACTTGGGTCCTGGTTAAAACGTTGGGGTATTATATCAGAAGGGTGTTGATGTATCCTTTGATCCCTCCCCTTATTGCTGGGCTGATTCAAACCAGCATTATTGATTCAAACCAGCTCAATTCTGTCATGGTGTTTACAGCATTCGACATCTGGACTGCCTCCGTGGCAGCAGCAGAGTCCTTGCTGCCCAGTCAGGCCGCACCCTGCTCAGGCCTGTTGGTCCAGCAACAATCACCGAACTCCAGGCTGTCACTCAGTGCTTTTGCAAAAACTCCCAGAAGGAATAAGAAGGGTCTATCAAAAGATCCTACATCAGGACTGAGGTAGAACACAACCCTTTTCATCTCACAATAGTCTCTCCATGTTGTCCACTTGTTTAAAAGAAATATAGAGAGACTTTAAATTTTCAGAAGATGACAGAATAGAGGGAGAAAGCTGAAGGAGTAATGAACAGTATCAGTAAAGAAAAAGTGGGATGTGGGTGGAAGTTGAGTGTAAATGAACATGATTTTTTAATCTTATCTGTGAAGGAGATAAAGTGGATGACAGGATCCCACGTTAACAAGATAATGGTTAGAGCTGCTATATAAATAGGATGGAATTCAGAAAGTGACTTTGATCGGATAATTATATATGTTTTATTAATGTTTGTTTTGTCCAGTTCAATACTTACTACATAGATTATTTTCACATGTGTCTTTTGCTTGGCACTCACTACATGGATTCCCTGCTTTGTAAGGGCGGACCCCTTTATAGTTGCCCCTAAAGAACAAATGTTTTAGACAACAGTAAGGTATTCAGTACATAAAAATTAAACTGCAATTGAAATTACAAGCAACTGCAAATATGTTTAAAAGGGCACAGCAAGTATGAGCAATTGTACAAAGATTAGTTTCTTGGCTAGTCCTGTCAGGACACTATGCATCCAATGGTTGGCTTATTTATCACTAAATATATGTACATACTATATTTGGCTGCCCTACATATATGAAATATAGTTCTCACTGTACAGACATTACAGGTACTGAAGTTGTTTAACCCCTTGAAAATAATTTCCCATAGGAAAATGATCTATAACAGGCATGGGCAAATTTTGGTCCTCCAGGTGTTTTGGACTTCAACACCCACAGAAGTTTGCCCATGCCTGGTCTATAATGTGGAGTCATGTATTTTACCACGCATCACAATGTTTACTCGCGTAGAACCTTTCCATGCAAGATCAGCTGGCTGCAGTAACACCTGCATTTCAATAATCAAAGTGTCAAAATATTTAGATTATTTCAATAATCGTGTTAACCCATCTGGATAATGATGACTCTAGAAGATTCTTTTCAGATAAATAAGCAAAAAGTTCTGGTGTGATCTGTTTAGAATGCCAGTTTTCTCAACATCCAAAGAAACATAACATGTAGGCTAGGCCAATGTTATGACTTGGGTACATGAAAAAAGAGGTAAACATGGGTAACTAGGCCCCCTCCATACAGCCATATAATCCAGAATATCAAGGCAGAAAATCCCACAATATCTGCTTTGAACTGGGGGCCCTTCCATACAGCCCTATATCCCAGAATATCAAAGCAAAAAAAATAAAATCCCACAATCTCTGCTTTGAACTGGGTTATCTGAGTCCACACTGCTATATATTCCAGTTCAAAGCAGATAATGTGGAATTTTCTGCCTTGTTATTCTGGGATATTGGACTGTGTGGAAGGGCCCTAGATTATCTGAGTCCACACTGCCATATATTCCAGTTCAAAACAGCAAATGTGGGGTTTTATTCAGCTGTGTGGAAAGGTCCAGTCTCCCAGGTTTCAGGGTGACATCAGTGCAGCGAAGTTTCGGGTGAGGATTGCGCTGAACATTGCAAAGATCACCCATTTTACATCACAAGCAAATTGACCTCCATTTGCCTTCCTTCACAAAAAGACCTCTCTTTGGTCCAAAATGCCCCAAGGGGTCAGAAACACAGTAATGGTTAGAAAAATATTGCTGTTGGTTTTCTGAGTATACTTCATTTTAACAATAATACACATGTGATTCCAATTAAGTTTTTAAAAGCCATGATGTTAGAATACTGTACTTCCTCTGTGAGTAACCAAGTCTGAATACAACTTTAAATCTTTTTAACTTACGCTGGAGCATAATTACACACTAGAAATCCCATATTCTCATCCCTTTTGAGTTTACGGCAGAAAGTAGCAGCACAGCCAACTTTATAAGAAGAAGCCCAAACAACCTAGAGAAGAAAAAAAAAGGCTTTATGACACATCAAATATAAAAGCTTTGTTAAAAATAGTATTTCTAAAATTTAGTTTCTCACAGTGTCACTCATTTTATATCATTGGGACACACACATCCAAATGGGCAGAGGGAGATGTCTGCTTATATATTTTATTATCCCTTTTCCTAAAAGGTAGGAGTAATTTATTTAAAGCATTTCCTGTTCCTCCTGCTGAGAAATATAGCTAAAATGCCTAGCAGCTAAAATGGAGTGAAATATGAAAAAGCAGAACTTGAACAATTTTTTTTATTCCAGGTAAGAAATCTGTCTAAGAAGTAATAACAGGCAACAGATATGCTTTGAGATTTAGCTTTAAAAATTGTTATAAAATCATCCTTATGCTGACATTCAGGCAAACCCAAAAATAAATATAATGGGCTCTTATATATCTGGCTACACATTTCCTCATCTAGTCACACTGAAATTAGTAACCTCGTCTTATTATGATTATTTTTACCCCTCTCTTTCACTCCACAAGGACACTGAGGGTCGTTCTACCTGGCCATATAAACGAGAATATCCAGGCAGATAATCCACATTATCTGCTTTGAACTGGATTATTTGAGTCCACAGTCAGAGAATCCACTTCAAAGTAGGTAACCTGAATTTTATACTGCTGTGTAGAAAGGGTCCGAGGCCTCTTCCACATAGCTGTATAAAATCTACATTTAACTAGATTATATGGCAGTGTGGACTCAGATAATCTGGTTGAAAGCAGATATTGTGGGTTATCTGCTTTGCTATTCTGGGTTATATGACTGTGTGTAGGGTCATGGAGCCCATTCTACACAGCTGTATAAAATTCAGATTATCTGTTTGAATTGGATTATATGGCAGTGTAGACTCATATAATCCAGTTCAAAGCAGATGTGGATTATGTGATTTGATAATCTGGATTATATGGCAATGTAAAAGGAGCCTCAAAGTAGTTTTAGGCCGCTTCCACATTAACCTCATATCCCAGTATCTGATCCTAGATTATTTTCTTATTCCCAGATTATCTGGAAATTTATATAACCCAGTTTAAATGTACTTTTTAAAATGTAATAAGATGTCATTTTTACCTGTATTTTATGTGTTTTATGGCTGTTCTGTAAGCCACCCCGAGTCCTTTTTGGGAGATGGTGGCGGGATACAAATAAAGTAGTTGTTGTTGTTATTATTAAATCTGATAATCTTGTATCAGATGCTGGGATACAGGGCAGTGTAGAGGTCTTGGCTGTTTTGTACAAAATCTGTTTCCCCTTTATTCTGCAGTTGTGCATATCTTCCGCAATACTTTGTAATAATCTCCTATTTGTAGCATAGAGATTTAATATGTAGAAGTTTGTCATCTGCATTCACAAAATTCCTTTAGAATAGCAACTGTTGTTTTCTTTCTGAAATTTAGCAATTGCTTTCAATGTGAATGCATGTTGCAAGCAATCAGCTTCTAAAATGTGAGACGACAGAGTACTGTACTAATGAAATAAATAATAAATAAGAAATAAATAATGAAATAACAGTGGGCCTCCAAGTGTTTTGGCCTACAACTCTCAGAAATCCCAGCCAGTTTACCAACTGTTAGGATTTCTGGGAGTTGAAGGCCAAAACATCTGGGGACCCATAGGTTGAGAACCACTGCACTATAACATCAACTTCATAATTTAAATTTCCCCTCAAAATACTGCTATGCTTCAAAATTTTCTGTGTGAATAGGGAAGGATAAAACTCACCTGAGTATAATGACCACATACACCTGTACATTTGTGGGCACTTAAATCGTAGTATTTTGTCTCTGAGTAAAATAATTCAATGGCAGCAGTAACATTAAAAGGTTGTGTGCTAGCACCTCCCATCCACAAATTTTCTCCAAAAGGCTGAAATTTAGGATCTGGGTGGATCATATCATTATTATTGTGGTCCCAAATACATTTCTTTGCATAAGCTTTAGCTATTCTAGCTAAAGCTAAATCAAATGACTGCAAATTAAAAAAAAAGACATCATGATATTTAGTAAATGTTCTATGTGCAGTAAATACTCTTGATATACAGTATAATTTTATCAATTCATTTGTCAAAATATAACAGTTTTATTTTGTTACCTTTTATATCAAGCTTAAACAAATATCTTAATAACGACTAGGAGAGATGAGGCCCCTTCTACACAGCTGAATAAAATCTCACATTAACTGCTTTGAACTGGAATATATGGCATATTGGACTTAGGGCCCTTCCACACAGCCATATAACCCAGAATATCAAGGCAGATAATTCGCAATATCTGCTTTGAACTGGGTTATCAAAGTCCACACTGCCATATAACGCAGTACAAAGCAGATAATGTGGGATTTTATTCAGTTGTGTGGAAGGGGCCTTAGATAATGTGGATTGTCTGACTTGATATTCTGGATTATCTGGCAATGTAGAAGGGCTCTGAGTCGCCCATGGGCAAAAGGTCTTGAGGTTGGAAGTGTTCACTGAGGTCCTTCTACACTGCCATATAAAATCCAGATTACCTACTTTGAACAGGATTATATAGCAGTGTAGATTCATATAATCCAGTTCAAAGCAGATAATCTAGATTACCTGCTTTGATAATCTGTACTTATATAACAGTGTAGAAGGGGCCTAAGTGAACCTTCAGCAGATCATCTGGATTTTATATGGCCATGTAGAAGGAGCCCGAGAAAGTGTTCCGTCACTTATTGCTGGGGTTAGGTTCCAGGACCTCCCACAATAAGTGAAAAAACGCAATGTAGGAATGCTCTATTTATTTTAGTATTTATACATTATTATACGCTATTTGAAATCTTTATAAACTTAAAATAAAGGAAAGGAAAGGAAGGAAAGGCCCTTCAAGGCTGGAGGGAGGGAAAGACTGAGGAGGGAAAGTGCTTTGGAGAGCTGCGGCAGCGGTGAAGCCCAACAAACCAGCGAAAATACCATGATATATATTTTAAATTAATATTTTTTGAAATCTATGAAACAGCAAGTCCGCAATAAGTGAACCGCGAAGTAGCGAGGGAACACTGTAATACCAGTGTGTGTGTGAGAGAGAGGTATGGCAGTGTGGAAGTTTGTTTCACAAAGGCTCCTACATGGCTTGATGAATCTGGACTCAACTTGGTACACAGACCTTTCATTATCCAACTTAAAATACTTATGTGTTTTCAACTGAAAAATCTCCCCCTTTTGGGACGAGGACTCCCCAAAATGACCCTCAGATTGCAGTACACAGATGCTATCAAAAAAGGACACTGTATTAAATAGGAAAGCTCCCTCAAATTGAGAGATTACAACTAGAGAATCAGCAGTGAGACACTCTAGGTTCCCTTCTACACAGCTGTATAAAATCCCACATTATGTCTGAACGCATCTATCTTTATGAACCACCAGAAAGACTAATGTCTTCTGGGGAGGCCATGCTCTTGATCCCGCCATTGTCACAAGCGCGTTTGGTGGGACGAGAGACAGGGCCTTCTCAGTAATCCCCCCCCCCCCAATTATGGAACTCCCTTCCTGGCAAGATTAGATCAGCCCCCTCCCTCCTGTCCTTCAGAAAGATGGTAAAGACATGGCTGTGGGACCAAGCCTTTGGGGCAGTGCAATGATGCAACAATAGTGAACCTACTCCGCTGACCGGAGCCAGCGTGATGTCTCGAGATGGTTTAAAACAGCTAATTTTAAAGTAGATATGACTGATTTTAATGTTTGTGTATATTTGTATTTGTTTTATGTCCCCTTTGGGGTGAGAAGACTAAAATATAAATGTTTCAAATAAATAAATAATAAATTATCTCTCTAACACTTTGAACTGTTATATGGCAGTGTGGACCCAAGAAATAAATAATAATAAACTTTGTTTGTATCCTGCCCCCTCTCCCAAAAGGGACTTGAGGCGACTTTTAACCCAGTTCAAAGCAGATATTATGGATTACTTGCCTTAATATTCTGGGTTGTATGACTGTGTGGAAGGCCCTTCCACACAGCTAAACAAAATTCCACATTTTCTGCTTTGAATTAGGATGTAAGTCAGTGTGGATTCAGGGCCCTTCAACACAGCCCTATATCCCAGAATATCAAGGCAGAAAATTCCACAATATCTGCTTTGAACTGGGTTATCGGAGTCCACGCTCTGATGTGGGATTTTCTGCCTTGATATTCTGGGATATAGGGCTGTGTAGAAGAGCCCTAAGATAACTCAGTTCAAAGCAGATATTGTGGGATTTTCTGCCTTCATTGTTTGGCTTATAGGCTGTGTGGAAGGTCCCATAGCCCATACTGCCATATAATCAGCTGTGTGGAAGGGACCTCTGTAGGTGCACCCTAAATACTCTCATCAAGAGTTCTGATGCCTCACCAATCTACAAATTAAAGCACTCCATAGGATTCTGGCATGGCAGTTACAGTAGAATCAGAACACTTTATTTATAGTATCAGAAGCAAACTACGGGTATTGTAACACCACAACACTTGTGAACAGGCCTTTGACTCCTGGGTCCCTTCCACACAGCTGAATAAAATCCCATACTATCTGCTTTGAAGGGGAATATGTCAGTGTGGACTCAGATAAACCGGTTCAAAGCAGATATTGTGTGATTTTCTGCCTTGATCTTCTAGGTTATATAGCTGTGTGGAAGCCCCCCCCCCCCCCCCCCCGGTTGGTATGTCTGTTGCAGCTACACTGGAGAATTAAGATAGTCTGGCATCACTTCAAGTGGCCTGGCTCAAGGCTATGGAAACCTGAGAGTTGTAGCTTGATGGGGCACCAACCCTCTTAGGCAGAAAAGGCTAAAGACCTTGTGAAACCACAACTCGAAGGATACCACACCAATGAACTATGGGTCCTTCAACACACCCCTATATACCAGAATATCAAGGCAGAGAATCCCACAATATCTGCTTTGAACTGTGTTATCTGACTCCATACTCAGATGTGGGATTTTCTGCTTTGACATTCTGGGATATAGGGGTGTGTGGAAGGACCCAGTTGTGAGGCGAGAGGCCTTTTCTTCAGATCCTCATGACGAGTTTCGCTTTCCCGCCTTTTCTCCAAGGACACACACACACCATGTACAGCATGTTGGTAGCGCTGGGCTTGACTCCTCTCCGGAATGTGTTATGTGCGTCGACATACTCTTTGATAAAGGCCTTGTTGTTGATGTCGGGGTAAGGGGCGAACTCCTGGCTTGCTCCCAAAGTGATGGAGGTGGCGAAAACCCCCAGAAGAAACCAGCGCCAGGCCTTCCCCATCGCAGCAGCAGCTCCCTAAAAGAAACCGCCGAGCTGCGCACGCAACCAACAGTTCCCCTCCAGTGGTCGCACCCCTAAATCCGACAGGGGGCCACCCCCAAATGAGCGAATGGTTTTTTCTGCTTCGCTAAAATTTCCCTCACCATCGAGTGGATTGTTCCACTTCGCGCATATATATATATATATATATATATATATATATATATATATATATATGTTGTTCACTTCGTGACCTCATGGACCAGCCCACGCCAGAGCTCCCTGTCAGCCGTCACCACCCCCAGCTCCTTCAAGGTCAAGCCAGTCACTTCAAGGATCCCATCCATCCATCTTGCCCTTGGTCGGCCCCTCTTTCTTTTTCCTTCCATTTTCCCCAGCATCATTGTCTTCTCTAAGTTTTCTTGTCTCCTCATGATGTGGTCAAAGTACTTCAACTTTGTCTCTAATATCCTTCCCTCCAATAGCAGTCGGGTTTTATTTCCTGAATTATGGACTGGTTGGATCTTCTCGTGGTCCAAGGGACTCTCAGAACTTTCCTTCAACGCCACAGTTCAAAAGCATCTATCTTCCTTCGCTCATTATTCCTACACTGTAGGAATAGTGCAGTTTGACACCATTTTCACTGCCATGGCTTAATGCTATGGAGTCGTGGCAGTTTTAGCTTCACAAAGTTCTCTGCCAAAGAGGGCTGGTAACTCACCAAAGAACCAGTGCATCCGTTCTACAGTGTAGATGTGCTCTTGGGTTTGTGAATCTTCTGGACTATCCCATTCCAGAGACAACTTCCATTTGGGAGTGCATTGGGTATTGAAGAAATGTCACTAAAAACCATTAGTGATACATGCCAATGATCTCTTAACCTGAATTTCAAAATAGTCCACATGAGCTGCTGAGATAGAGACATCTTTGCTGACAGTTCAATATAAACAAACTTTGTTTCATGCATGAAAGGATTAAAAGTGCTATGTATTGTCAAAGGCTGTAATTTCCTGAACCTGTGCTTGGCATCTGTGATGGTCTGGATGAGGGTGAACAAGTTGAAACTGAATCCAGACAGACTCCTGGTCAGTCGTAAGGCCCAACAGAGTATAGGGCAGTGGTTCTCAACCTGTGGGTCCCCAGATGTTTTGGCCATCAAATCCCAGAAATCCTAACAGCTAGTAAACTGGCTGGGGATTCCTGGGAGTTGTAGGCCAAAACACCTGGGGACCCACAGGTTGAGAACCACTGGTATAGGGTTACAGCCGGTGTTGGACGGGGTTACACTCCCCTTGAAGACACAGGTTTGCAGCTTGGGAGTTCTTCTGGACTCATCGCTGAGCCTGGAACTTCAGGTTTCGGCAGTGGCCAGGGGAGCATTTGTACAATTAAAACTTGTGTGCCAGCTGCGCCCGTACCTTGAGAACTCAGACTTGGCCATGGTGGTCAACGCTCTCATTACATATTAAATAGACTACTGCAACACACTCTATGTGGGATTGACTTTGACAACTGTTTGGAAGCTTCAAGTAGTTCAACGGATGGTAGCCAGTTTTCTTACTGGAACGGCATACAGGGAGCATACACCCCCCCAGCTCCACTGGCTGCCAGTCTGCTACTGAACACAATTCCAAGTACTGGCTTTAGCCTATAAATCCTTAAACAGTTCTGGTCCAGCTTATCTGTCCGAACGCATCTCCTTTTATGAGTGAGTTAGAGCACTAAGAACGGCTAGGGAGGTCCTGCTCTTGGTCCCATCGTACTCGCAAGTGCGATTGGTGGGAATGAGAAACAGGGCCTTGGTGGTGGTGGCTCCTCGGCTGTGGAACTTCCTCCTCAGTGAAATTAGATTGGCCCCTCCCTCCCAGCCTAAAACTTGGCTATTCAAACAAGCAAGCAATAATGAAGTAGTTACATGACAATCTCGGGATTTGTGCAATGTTTAATGTTTTATGTCAATGTCTATTTCCGATGCTTTATAGTTTTAATGGTTTTAATCCACAGTATATGCTAGTTTTAGATATGTGATGTGTTTTCACATATATGTGAGGCATTGAATTTTGTCATTTAATCACGTTGTAAACTGCTTGGAGTCCCCCAGGGGTGAGAAAAGCAGTATAGAAATGCAATAAATAAAATAATATGTATATAATAAAGTGTATATGCAACATGAATGGATTTATATTTGGCTTGGGTCCCATCTCCATGATATCTCCTTATTCATCTGTGAAGGCAAATGCAGATATTCCAAAATCTAAGAGGGAAAACATTCAAGACACTTCTGATCCTAAATATTTTGGATAAGGGATTCTCAGGGCCCTTCCACACAGTCTTATAACCCAGAATAACAAGGAGAAAATCCCACAATATCTGCTTTGAACTGGGTTATCTGAGTCCACACTCAGACAATGTGGCATTTTCTGCCTTGATATTCTGGGATATAGGGCTGTATGGAGAGCCCCCGGTGGCGCAGTGGGTTAAAGCCCCGAGCTTATTGACCGAAAGGTTGCAGGTTTGAATCTGGGGAGCCACGTAAGCTTCTGCTATTAGCCCCAGCTCCTGCCAACTTAGCAGCTTGAAAACATGCAAATGTGAGTAGATCAATAGGTACTGCTCCGGTGGGAAGGTAACGGCGCTCCATGCAGTCATGCCGGCCACATGACCTTGGAGGTGTCTATGGACAACGCCGGCTCTTCGGCTTAGACATGGAGATGAGCACCACACCCCAGAGTCAGACATGACTGGACTTCATGTTAGGGGAAAACCTTTACCTTTGGGCTGTATGGAAGGGGCATCAGCCTGCACCTATTGTTTTTAGTTGAGTGTTTCCCAAACTTTGATCCTCCATGTCTCTATCAAACATAAGTGAATTTATGTTAAAACTGGATCTCATCTCTGTTGTCTGTGTGCTTACTTACTTACTTACTTACTTAGGCAATCCCTCGTTGGACGAGTAAGATGGTCTTCCATTATGGATTTCCTTGTGGGTCCGTATGTGGCTGTGGAGCCCTATTCTTGCTCTGCATCTTCTCCCACAGTGAGGGCATTGTTTCCAGGTGGAAGGCGGTCTCGGTCAGGGTTGGCTTGACGCGCCTTCCTCCTGGCACGTTTCTCTCTTTCACCCTCCACTCGTGCCTCCTCAAATTCTGCAGCACTGCTGGTCACAGTTGTCCTCCAGCTGGAGCGCTCAAGGGCCAGGGCTTCCCAGTTCTCAGTGTCTATGCCAGAGTTTTTAAGGTTGGCTTTGAGCCCATCTTTAAATCTCTTTTCCTGTCCACCAACATTCCGTTTTCCGTTCTTAAGTTCGGAGTAGAGCAACTGCTTTGGGAGACGGTGGTCAGACATCCGGACAACGTGGCCGGCCCAGTGGAGTTGATGTTGGAGGACCATTGCTTCAATGCTGGTGGTCTTTGCTTCTTCCAGCACACTGACGTTTGTCCGCTTGTCTTCCCAAGATTTGCAGGATTTTCCGGAGGCAGCGCTGATGGAATCGTTCCAGGAGTTGCATGTGACGTCTGTAGACAGTCCACGTCTCACAGGCATAGAGCAGGGTTGGGAGGACAATAGCTTTATAGACAAGCACCTTGGTATCCCTACGGATGTCCCGGTCCTCAAACACTCTCTGCTTCATTCGGAAAAATGCTGCACTTGCAGAGCTCAGGCGGTGTTGTATTTCGGGTCGATGTTGACTTTGGTGGAGAGGTGGCTGCCAAGGTAGCGGAAATGATCAACTTTTTCTAATGTTACACCATTAAGCTGTATCACTGGCATTGGAGAGGGGTTGGCTGGTGCCTGCTGGAAAAGCACCTTGGTTTTTTCGATGTTCAATGACAAGTCGAGCTTCTCGTATGCTTCTGCGAAGGTGTTTAGAGTGGCTTGTAGATCTTCTTCTGAATGCGCACAGACGACATTGTCATCAGCATACTGGAGTTCTATAACAGATGTTGTTGTAACCTTGGTTTTGGCTTTCAGTCTGCTGAGGTTGAATAGCTTGCCATCTGTCCGATAGATTATTTCCACTCCGGTGGGAAGCTTCCCATCAACAAGGTGAAGTATCATAGCGATGAAGATGGAGAATAGAGTTGGGGCAATAACACATCCCTGTTTGACACCGATTCCACTTTAAATGGGTCACTTTGGGAGCCACTGCTGTCCAAGACTGTTGCCATCATGTCATCATGGAGGAGCCGCAGGATGTTCACAAATTTGCTTGGGCACCCGATTTTGTGGAGGATGGTCCAGAGAGCGCTGCGATTCACTGTGTCGAATGCCTTTGCAAGGTCGATGAATGCCATGTACAGAGGTTGGTTTTGTTCCCTGCATTTTTCTTGGAGCTGTCGTGCAGTGAAGATCATGTCCACGGTTCCTCTGGAGGGGCGGAAGCCATTCTGGGATTCTGGGAGGGTGTCTTCTGAGAGGGGCAGAAGGCGGTTTGCAAGGATTCTTGCGAGGATTTTCCCAGCGGAGGTTAGAAGGGAGATACCTCGATAGTTTCCGCAGTCTGTTCTTTCCCCTTTTTTGAAGAGGGTGATGATGGTGGCATCCTTGAAGTCTGCTGGGATTTTCTCGGTCACCCACACTTTTTCTATGAGCTGGTGGAGTTGGTGTGTCAGCTCAGGTCCTCCCTCTTTAAAGATTTCAGCAGGGATCCCATCTGGTCCACTGGCTTTGTTATTCTTCTGTTGGCTGATGGCATTGCTGACTTCTTCCAAACTAGGCAGTGCTGCAAGCTCGTCCCTGGTTTGTTGTTGCGGGATTTGTGAGAGGACCTCTTCGGCCACATTGGAGCTGCGGTTCAGGAGGCTTTGGTAGTGTTCTTTCCAACGTAGTGCAATTGAGTTTTGGTCCTTCAGGAGTTTGGTTCCATCTGATGAGCGTAGAGGCTGTATGCCATGGTTTCTTGGTCCGTAGATGACCTTTGTGGCTTTGAAAAATCCCTGAGCATTATGGGTATCTGCCAGGTGTTGGATTTCTTCGGCCTTCTTTGTCCACCAGATGTTCTTGAGTTCTCTTGTCCTTCTTTGGACCTCAGCTTTTGCACTGGCGTAGATCTTTTTCTTAGCAGCACAGTTGATGTCTCTCTGCCATGTTTGGAAGGCTTTCCTTTTCTTGTCAATT